ATAAATGTTAAGACATAAAACGGAAAAAATCAAGTTCTTCAAATTCTTTTCAACAGAAGTGCTACATGATCTAGCAAAAGATGGTGCTTGGAATTGGATGCACGCAATACTGTGTGCAAGTCCTGTTCTGTCCTATGACGTTACAGAAGCTTCATATTTCTGTACCTAAGTTTTGTCACTTGTAATACAAAGATTTTTTAATTTTCAGTGTTGTTCTGAGAATGAAAGATATTTAAGGAATGCAGAGTAGATCAACATGGGCAGATAACAATACTGTTATTCATCTATGACTTAAGCTCTGATGATGATTACTTATGTTTTTGGACAATTTTGTAACATGTTTCTTTGAAAAGCTGAGTACTTTTCATTGTACACCTGGTCTTTCAGTACAGATTTTATATAAAGAAGTCTTTCTTTAGAAATGAAATAGGTTTAAATAATTTATTAGTTTACAGAGCTCCTTTGCATTTTCCTTGTATCAATAATTCCTGAGTACTTCCCTGAACAGCACTTTTAAAAAGCATTGTTTTGCTATTATAACCTAAACGTATTTCAAATCAAGCATTGTTTACTGTAGTTCCCAGCATATAAGATTGCAAATATCTAATAATCTTGATATATAAAAACATCATATAGTTCAAACTAGTACATGTGTACGTATTTTGTAAGGAGCATAACCTCTGGCACGGTTAAAAACAGAGGCACAGGTGCTCTGTTAGGACAGCAGTTACAACTTCCTAAACAATGCGCTTCATTTATTATTTAACAAAGCTTCCTGAGGGACAGTTCAGCGCCCAGCAGACACTCCTGCAGTGTAGGAGACGGCAAAGGAGGTGTATGAGCTAATGCAAAGGAGGAACAATAACGCTGGCAAGGGGGCTAAGTCAGGAGCAGGATCTCTTTGCAACTTGAGATGAGATGGCAAAACAGGTCCTGAAAGAGAAAATGACTTTGGACTAAAGACCTGAAGAAATCCAGACTCTGGAGATGGCTATCTGGGGGAGAACTACAGCTGCTCCCTCTGCTACAATGCAGGCACCCCAAGGCAGATTTCCTTGTTTACTGCTGGTCCTGCATGTGAAACAGGGCCTAGTACATTGTAGGTGCTTGCAGTGGTTGATACACTGTGCCACCTTGAGAAGTTTAGGAATTTAACTTTGCAACTCAGCAGGGGGCCAGGGTCCTCACTTTGTAAACATCCTCATCCTGTGCAAGAGGAGGGCATGGAGACGGTATGGGGGCAGGGGCGGGGAGGCTGCTTACAATATAAGGGAAGGAAAGAGACTTGCTCCCCCCACCCCCACCTTTTTGCCCTTGCTGCTTTTGCTGTCCTCCACTACCATGAACTGTCAGCCCTCTGCCATGCGCCACACTGCCTTGCAGCCAGCTGGTGATGGACTGAAACCTCTGTAAACTGTGAGCTAAACAAACCTTTCCTTCCTTAATCTGGGCTGTCGGGTATTTTGTCTCAGGAACAAGAGAAAAGTAACAAGCACAGTGCTCAAAAAAATGCCTGTTGAAAAAATGGATTTTAATGTACAAGCAAATATATATATAAATGCTCAATTACACTGAGTTGTTTTTACCACAAAAAGCCACATAACCATCGTACCTTCTTTCTTCCATGCAATAGTCCTTAGGCACTGTTCCTAGTTGGCTGTGTCTAAACACAACATCCTGATAATTATTATAATATTAATATCATGCTATGTGCTTTAATATGCTACATAATAATTATTTCTCTTTATTTTCTATGCCACAATATAAATTCCAGGGAGAGGAATATAAAGTCTATCTCTCTTGAGTACTGATCTCCAGATTATAGTCCCACACCTGATATACAGTATCTGTTCCATATTCAAATAAATGAATGAAACAGTCTGAATGAACAACAAGTCACAAAGCAGTAAAATCGGGAGGTGGTTTTAGGACAGCACACTGTTTAGTCTGGAGACTCCAGCATGTGTAGAGGAATAACGCTGCTGGGTGTAATTCAGCAGGTTATGGAGAAACAGAGCTATGGTTTGGGGGATGATCTGAGAGTTCCTATATTATCTGGGAGAGTGAAAGATGCCACTACTGGGGGTATAATATAAGGGATATGGAATTTTCTGAATGCAAGGTTTATTGAAATTTTTATACTATACCTTGGCTTCTCTATTTTTACAAAAAGAGTTCTGTCAGTGGGATAAGTAATAAGTTTCCCCTTCAGGAAGGGTTACAGGTAGAACAGAACTTAATAATCAGCTCTCCAGTTTGATTTTGTTGCTACTTCTAAGCATTAAAAAAAATACCATAAAGCATCGTTTAATCAGCCCCTAATGATCCAGCCTAATCAGTAATCAACAATCTGGCTTCAAAGATTATCATGTGATCCATGTCTTATTATTATTCAGAAGTTACCACTATTAATCCTTAAATTTCAAGAGGCAATAATTTAAAAAACTGAAATCAAGCCACATGATATTTTATTAAAGTTGCAATAAAAATCATGCAAAAAAAAAAACTTAAGAGTAAGTTCTAAATCAATAAATTACCTTAAAATTAGAACCAGCAACGCAAAAGCCATTTGAAGTAGAAAGTTACAAGAAGAAGAAGAACAACAAAAAAAGATATATGGGCTGTCCTAGATATACTCAGTGTATTTAGGAGATATTAATATTCAATTCAGACTATCAGTCCTGGACATATGCAGTGCTGAGAAATGGATATCACCCCATGGCTTCACGTAGCGTAAGTGCGACTGACTGCATTGCTCTCACTGAATCTAGTTCTGCCTGTGTGGTAGCATCTTCTAAAATCACCAGGTACGGCTCAGTCCACAGGAGTGGGTGAGAGGGTTGCAGCTGCACTCAGTCAGTGCTAGTGTGGGGCAGGCGGCCACATGACAACGCCGCTTGCTCCAGAAGCACCCCTGGAGCTCTGGAGCCCGTGTCAGGTCACACACTATGCATGTGCCCTTCCTTTTACCTTTCCCCCACGGGTTAAGCAGAAGTGCAACTGTTTTTCAAGTATATTCCTCACTTTAATGAACATTTCCTCTAAAAAACCATGAACCCACCTCCTTGCATGTAAGGAGCCAGTCTGACTCTCCTTTACTTCCCGTAAGGCTGCACCACATCCTATTAGTGTCATAAATGGTACTTTTAATGCTGATGTTAATGATTATAACTTGCCAGGGTCTTCAGACAACCATTTATAAAAACATTTCTTAACCTTTCTCAACTTTCACTGAAATGCAGGTATTTCTAAAGACCCTATCTTTGGATCTCTTCTTCAGCTATGTTGTGTATGTGTGGTTGCTTCCTTCCTCTCAACCATTCCTGTTATTTCCTGTATGCTCCAATGTAAGCTTTTACACTGGTGGCTTCCTAGTATTAACAATCTTGTACAGTCAATTCCTCAGTGAATCTGGGCCATTCTTGACCCTAACTTAAAATAGCAATGCAGCAGAAGTGAGACTAGGCTAGCTCCAGGACTAAGTCTTCAAAAATCTTGGCAGGCTCAATTTTTGTGTTTGTCCTGAGCACTAGTAAAAGTTTCAGCCAGCCTACTGGCTTCTCTACATGTGAGGAGACCATGTGGCAAAGAAATGGCTTAGAGACTCTGGGGAGAGAGTCAGCCATCTCTGCTCCTGAACCCGGCCTCCAAACAATCCATGAGGCCAGTGCAACCAAATCAGTGACCGCTGGTGAAACCCGCAGAAGAACCACCCAGCTGAGCTCAGTCCCAACTGCAGAACCTTGAACAAATAAAAATAAAGCGTGTTCTCTCAAGCCACTACATTTATGTTTATTAAACAAGACATAAGAAAATATTAATGCTAAGTGCAAAATTTAAATCCCTAACTGTGACTGTTCTCTAGTGATCTAGATCTAAATTTCAGACTCTAGTTTAAATTTCCATATAGATATCCTACTTGAAGCTCAACTTCAACACTTGCTAAATCAGAATCTATAATCTCACCTATTTCCTACATAGTACTATGTAAACTGCTGATTTAAAAATTCTTTTCCCTCAGACTATTAGCTTTCTGTGGAGTACTTCCATAGAAGTCTTGGTAGACATGTTTCAACTACAGTTCTCAGTCCTATCATGGCATGGGTCACAAAAACTAACTACAAGCTCAAAGAAATTTAAACAGATTATTATTCAACTTTGAATACCACTTACACCAAAGCAAAAGTATGCACGAACAGACTTTAGCTATCTGACTTTGAGAAGATAACTTGAACAGTTTGATCCATAACTATGTAATGAAATATTAGGGTTAGGACTCAAACAACCTCTGACTTTATAACAGAAGTTAGTATTTTATCTTTATGGGAACAACTTGAACATACTAGAGTACTAGAGAGGCAACACAGTATTGCATAGCCCAGGTTCAAATTTTAAGAGAAATTATAGAACAATTAACTGCAGACCAGGATTTATATGAAGGTTCTGTCAATTGCCAGCTCTTTAAGTTTTCTAGGCTCCAATATCCTCACCTGTACAATGTGAACAAAAATAAACCTATAGGATTATTATCAAAATTAAATGACAATATTTTTAAAAGTATCCAGGACGCTACACAGCATACAGTTAAACAAGTTCTAATTTCTTTGGCAAAGTGTAACCACAGGCTCATTTCTTAGTACCATTTAACAAATAAACTACTTTCTCCATATATTTGTTTTCTCAAATGTCTCTAAGAAATCAATGTTCAATGTAGTTAGCTTTCTAATTAACTAAATGTTCTGCCTTGAGATCACTGATATGTTTAATGAATGTGGTTAGAGATAACTGAATACTATTTTCCAACAAAGAAATGTTACCGCGGGCTGGGGATGCAGTCAAAGACAGAGCACTTGTCTAGCACAGGAGAGGACCCAGTTCAATCCCCTGCACCGCAACAAAATAAAAATTAAAAAAAAAAAGAAATATTACCTCCATTTCAGGTTTGACAAATACATTCTCTACCTCACATCGGTGATATAACGCAGAGCCCTGCTACTCACCACTGACCGTCTTCGGCTTTTTGGCGATGTACTCCTTCCATTTTCTCGAGCTGAGCTGGCTGGGAGGCGGGATGAACACGTTGCTAACAATACACGGCAGTGCAAAAAGAGCGCCAACCTGGAACACAGGACCCGTTTCACTAACTGCAGACTGAAACTCACTCTGGAAGAGGGGCACATGGCTATTTCCCACTCACAATACCCACTCTCAGCACCACTGCAAACACTGAAAAATGCCCCACACACCGCCAAAAACAAAAAAAGAAACACAGGAAGGCAATCAAGGCTACTGTGGTCCCTTTTCAGCTGAAGTGCACATCTCTGAAAAACCTTGCTCTTCTCTATTTACTTTGTGCTCAGGGTGTGGGTTAATTTCTTTGTATATCTGTAAAATAATAAGAGGCTGAGAATTCTAACACAAAAAAATTTGTCTTATCCAACCATAATTTCAGGACCGCCGATTGATGGATTATTGTTCTGGCTTCAAAAGTATAACACATCTGAAGGCAAAATAGAAATTTTTGTTCCTAGAAACCAGAGATTTAATGTTAATAGGTAAAAACTACAGAGAAGATAATGAATTACATTCTAGAAAACAGAGCAGCTATAGACTGGTTTATGAGCAATCTCAACTTATTTATCTTTGTACTCCCAAGGCTGGGCATACAGATGTTTATTAAATAGTTGCTCAAAAAAATCACCATAATATATTTAGGTAAACTCTCGGTTTGATTAAAGACTAAATGAAACAAATTATAATTGTGAAAACTGTGTTTTGCCTATTTTAGAAATGTAGCTACATCAATCAGCATATCCCAATAAAAACATTAATTTGAAAATGAAATGAAAAATTAATTTTTCCAAAAAATTGGAAAACATAAGGCATTAGTCAAAGATCTTAAGCCTAATATAAATTACTTTTATGTAATTGTTCTGTGTAGATGTTGCTATCTATTACGTGTATTTATGCATTCATAACTAACAGATATAAAAATCAATATTTTAGAAACAAAGGTAAAAGTAAATATAAATATGATAACTGTAGCCTTTTCTAAGAAAAATATAATTTACATAGTCAAGTATTAGCAATTAAAACCTTAAAAATTTAGCAGTAGATACCTCTACTTTTCTAACCATGAACTCCTACTTCTTTCCTGCAGAAGTAACACTTCAGAGCCCGAAATGCTTGTCCACAAGACTGACAAGGCAGTAAAGGGAATCTGCCCCGTCAGGTCCCTGCTACGGCTTCCTCGGTATTTTAGACATGTTCAATGCAGCCCCGCGTAAAGGTGTCATGACCCGTAGGTGAGGAATTGGTCTCATCTCTCACACAGCCTAATTTGGATTCCGATCACTTGTTCTGCCCCACACACAAATCATGAGGTAACCTCTGAGAGGTGTGGGGCTATCATTCTATCTCTAGAATTTAAAGACCAAACAGCGTCCCAAATCTGAGTTTCAAAACCTTGATTTAACCATTTCAGTCAGTCCTTCCTAACAAGGAGTCGCTATGAAAATCATTTTAATAGCTTTGCAAATTCCTCACTATAAAATATACAGCTATGTAGACACCCTAAGGTAAGTGGACATCCCACTCCCTACCAACCCTGCCTTGTCTTTTCCTAACCTAAGAAAATGCGCTTTACTCCAAGAAGCTTTTATGTATACTTTGCAGGGACAGAAAGGAAAACCTTTCAAAGCTAAGCATTTACTGAGGATCGTATAGGTCACTAGACCTTAAGCCCCTCGGAAGCTTGCTGAAGAAGGGCTGTGTCCACCCTATCGCCTCAACAGCTAGGCAAGCAAAACAAGCCACTGCCACACAAGGGATGAAAACCGCGCCATAAAGCGAAGGAATTATTTCAAGGGATAAGCGCGCCATTCAAAACCAAGTTTTTTTCAAAAATGTAAAAGATAAATTGTGACCCAAGATAAAAGAAAAACTACATCAAATTTAGAGATTTATTTTCAAAGTCACATAATATATTTGTGAATATTATCCCTTTTGCTGTATTAAGAAACTTACAGGGCCCCCATTTATGTGCTGCTGACAGAGTGTGTTCTAACATTCTAGAGTCACAGTCCGAGAAGCCATAAAAACCACAATCTAATATCACAAATTTAAAACAAAACAACTGAAAATACGATATTAAACAACAAGTTCAATTTGCTTCTAGAATTAGTGATGCCTACTATCAATAGCTCAGTGAATTAATGATTATTTTATACTTGCAGTAAATAAATTATACATATGCATCTGATTTTTACTAAAAATATTAAGTGGCAGGACAACTTATCAAATAAGTACTTTGATGCCCTATTCAAAATATTATTAAACTTATGGGAAAATGAGGCCTGCAGCCAAAGTTTAAAGTTACCATACAATGAAGCTCTGAAGTCCAAGAGTACACTTCCTTTATACCAATTTTCCACAGGAATTATAATCAAGATTTGACTTTAGCATGACAGCAAAACCGCTACAAATATTAGAATTATTTTCTCCTTTCAGGAGTGTTTGTTAATAGTGTACTTGGGGTTAAAATAATAAGATAATGTTATGTGAACATGGTCAATAAATATTGTGTTTATTAAAAATTATTTTCACAGAAACATAATAGTTGAATAAATAATCAGAGAGCATGCACTTATGTTTTCTTACTAAAAACTTTACTTGACTATAGATACATGACTCCACTTAGAATTCTTTATATTGTAGTTTAGAAAAGTAAAAATATACCAGTTTTATAGCACTATAAATGTAAAACTATTAAAATAGCTACAAATCATTATATTTATGGGAAAATTATAAATATACAAATAATTCAGTAAAACTTTAGAAGTTTTTCTCTGTTCTACCATGAGATAATAATGCAGACCTATGAACACCTTCCCACAGAATTTAAATGATATTGCAGAATTAATGATTAAAAATAATGCTTTTGTTAAAACATTAATGTGTTGAAAATGTGTTTGTATTAGTGACCATTTCATGGGTGGAACAAAAATACCTGACACCTACAAATTAAAGGAGAAGGTGATTCTCATGGTTTCTAGGGTGTAGTCCATGGTCAGCTGCCTTCACGGCAGAAGCATCATGACGGAAGGGTGTGATGGAGGAGAGCTGCTCACCTCATGGCACCCAGGAAGCACAGTGTAACAGGAAAAGCCAGAGAGAAAAGGGCTAGGGACCAGGTATGTTCCCAAGGTCATGCTCTTAGGACCCACCCCCAAACATCCAGAAGTATACTTTACTAATTTGCTAGGCGCCTCTCAAACTAATCAAGTTAATAACCAGGATTAACCCCCATCATTTTCTAAAATTTTGAAGCCATTACCAGCTGTAAAACTTAATTCTGAGAACTGTCTAAAATCAGTCAATTTGCCTGCAAAGCACTTTATTGTGGAAAGTCCAGAGATCTTACCATGAAACGGGGCCAAAGACAAGTTATTTACCTTAAAGAAACCAAGTTAGCAAGCAAAAAGAGATTAATGAGCTACATTCATTTTCTTACACATCTTCCAGTATTAAACACAGAAACACAACTCAAAAAAGCCTGGTTTACCTTGCAACACAAAGAGGAGATCTGCTCCAGCAGCAGCGTGGAGTTCTGCCTGCTGTTTTCCGGCAGCCCTCTGTACAAGGAATTAAAGAAACTGGTAGAGGAATTGGGACAGCTTTCCAGGCCCTAACTGATTTTCTCAATTCTTCCACAAGCTGACTAAATTCGTTTACTAAAAACCAACTTCAGGAATTAACAATTACTTCTCTCCTTAAAAATTATTTTTCTGATTATTTTTTCTGAGAATCATTACTATAAACTAATACAATAAGATAGCTGCAGAAATTTTACAAGAGTTAGTATTCTATTTCTAGTCAAAAAGTTTCCTTTTATATAAAAAGTTCTGCTCTTTGGTGTGGTTCTGAAAATTTTTTAGATACATTTTCTTTTATTTTTGTTTTTTTTTTTTTGGATATCTCAGAGAAGGGTCTCACTATGTAGTTTAGGCTGCTCTTTAACTCACTATCTTCCTGCCTCAGCCTCCCTGGTGCTGGGATTACAGGCATGTACCACCACACCTGGCTCTTAACATGTATTTTCTTAAGAGTTTAAAATTTGTTCATTATTTGCAGATATATATGATAGCATTATATTTAAGTATATTAAAACATACATCAGGCAACTAGTGCTTGTATATTAATCATACTGGTAGCAGGTGAATAAAGGAATTTTAGGAGTATACCCTTTATTTTGTTTTTCCCCACAGATTCTAGAAGTTTTTCCTTCTTCCTTACCTCGAAAGTCATGAGTAGCAAAACCAGGACGTCCTCTGCCTATTCTAGAAGCATAAATACAGTGCTCAAGGTAGCACTGTTTTAGTTTTTGCTTTTTTTTTTTGCAAATTGTAGAACTTGCTTAAAACCAGGGCAATGGCAAGTATACTGAGTATTAATTAAAAACCATTTAAAATGTGGGCCATAACCACAAAAACAGCACTCTTCATGATTCTTTGATGCAGAGAGCTTTCTGCAGCGAGGTGGTCAGGAAGCCCACACTCGGAGCTAGGAGAGGAGCAGCTGCTGAGGCTAGGGTGAGCGAAGTCCAGGGCCACACCCACTCAACCTAGCTTCCCAGCCACCACAAGGAGAGCTCTCCAAGTCTCCATGAAACAGGGTCAAAACCCCTGGTCTAAAGCAAAGATCCAACAGGAGACAAGTATGTCGTGTTTCCTATCTTGCAGCCTGAGGGCGGCTAACAGATAAAGTGAGAGAAATGCAGGACTGATAACAGTGTACACTGGGAAGGCTCTCCCACAGTTCTACATCCGGGAACATTTGGTTACACAGTTCTAATCAGGGACGTAGAATGGGTAACAAATTTATAACTGTCCAGGGCTGGGGATATAGCTCAGCAGCGCAGCATCTGCCTGGTAAGCTCGAGGTCCTGGTACCAAAAAAAAAATGAAAACTGCCCATTGAGTATTACTCTGAGCTTGAACTCCTCCTCTGAAACCTTCCCTGTCCCACACTATCTCAGCGAGGGCACTGCTTTCAGCACAGGGAAATAGGCAGCCCTGTCACGTTCCCTGCATGTCACAGACCAAAGCCAGTGGATTCTACATCCCTAACACATCCTGTAGCTCACCCTGGACCTCCATTCCAAGCCACCTCTTTAGATCAAGTTCTGTGAGCTGAACAAAATCCCACCCGTACCATTTAAAATCTGCTTCTCATTAAGCCACTCCTGGCTCACAGTCCTTCTCCATCCCTTACGATCACGATCTTTAAGATACAAGTTAACTCCTCATCACAGTACAGGTCTTTTAGTTTTTGATCTTCAGCCTGATCTAGCAACACCCCCCCAAACCAACACCCCCTAAAACAATACAACATCAAAAACATTTCAGTGATACTAGACAAACAGCTTTCAGGTGGGTGAGGTTTGCCGAAACCTTCAAAAATGCCACCTTTTCTACAGAAAGAAGAAAACAGTGAACATCTGATGTAATAAAATGCCTCCATTCTGTGACATCAACTGAGCACCCACTCTGCTGCTAGCCTATATTGCATTCATAGACTTCTTCCAAAGAAACACAGCGAGAAAGACATAGAAGTCAAGGAGAACACACTAAACAAAACGCCAGGAAGGTCTGATGCTATGCAGGAGGAAGAGTGGATCTAGCCTGTGCCCAACAGGGGGCGCTATAACTGCACTGACACAAGGCTCCAACATTTCCTGTTCTTTCCACAACCCTTCCCAAGGCAATTAGTACTAAATGAAAACAAAGGCTCTTGCCTAGGGAGAGAGGTTTCTGCTGGGAAAAGTAGAGGGTCCAGCATATAGAAAAAGCAACAACTTGCACCCTCAGCAACTTCAACAACATGGGGTCCCGCTGGTCCACTCGCGTAACTATGAACACAACACAGTGAGGACACATGTACACGTCATACGTGGGGTCACCTCCAGTACCAGAACATACTGCCTGACACAAAATACAGTCTGACACGACACAGCAGTGAAAGGATACAACTCGAATTCAAGGTCCGACACGTAGCAGGAGGGTAGCTCTGATAAGTTTACCATCTGCACAAACTGCAGGGCAGGGCCATAGTAATGGAAAACCTGGAAAAGAAATCAAACCTGTGTAACATTTTACTGGAAAGAAAGCAAACAACTTAGTGATTATGAGTTCAAAACTTTGAAATGGGTCTTAGAATGCCGCTATTCACACATTATGCAAGCCGGCGCGCAATCCCTCTACAATGGACAAGAACTTCTTCCACTTCAATTCTGCCTTTCAGAGTCGACAGACACAGAGATTTCCTAGTGATCAGGAAGAGCTGTAACAGGAGAACAAGCATCGGAAGAGGCAAGCAATAGCGAATACAAGTTCTCAACTTTTTCTCTTCAACAAGAGAAAGAGGCCCCAGCGCTGAAGACACAAACCAGCAAACTACCCCCGCAGCACTGACAGAGCAAGCAAACACACGGCAGGGTGAGCTTTGGTGAGTGACTGACCGAGATTTACAGGGAAAATCAGCCGGGGGCAGTGGCGCAGCACTCCGGAAGCTTAGGATCCCTGTGATTTCTAGGCCAGCCTGGCCACAAAGTGTGTTCAAGGCCAGCCTGAACTGCACAGTGAAACCCTGTCTCAAAAAAAATAAAATAAAGGAAAATAAAGGAAAAAATCTGGGGAAAAGACTGACGAAATAGAAGAGTACAGCCAACAAGTGCTAATTATGAGAGAAAGTCTCACTCAGAAAAGCAAATGTTCAGTATTTCTTCGAGTAGAGCTTACCACTGAATTAGAAGGCGCTTATAAAGGAGACTTAATAGTTGAAGACAAAGTGCCTCACATGAAGAGCAAAGAAAAGAAAATACATCATGAAGAAACTACACAGTTTCACATTTGCAGAAGGCAGATAATTACACTGTATGACTCGTGTGTGTGTGTGTGTGTGTGTTATACAGTATATACACATGTACACACAATATGCACACATATATGGAGGGTGGGCTAACACTTCTTGAAGAGGTTGTAACTAAGATTACCCTCAATAGTATCAAAAAATCAGACATTATCACACTTGAATGTTTCACTACCGAAGAAGAAAAGTGGAAGCCATTAATTTTATGATTTGAATGTTAAAAACTTAAAATTTCTGTGAAAGCTAGTCATAGTAAGTTATTTCAAGTAAGCAATGTTAAACAATATTGGTAATGAGCTCTCATCAGAAACTACACCTTTTTTATACCGATTTTCAATCAGAATATAGTAACTGTCAATTCACAGCCTTATAACTTCAAGACCACTATGTTTAGTAAACTCATACTGAGTCCCTTAAAGTAGATTTTTAAAGTGCTTCTATATAAATAACTCTTCTGATGTTATTTTTCCAGTGTTGAAGACAGCCAGCTACACCTTTTTCTAATGATTATATTTATAAGTAATTTAATGAACAAATACACAGAAGATCTGATATGAGAATTACACTTTTGAACTATAAGTTAAGCCGAGGTCAGGTTCCGTATTAGATGCTCTTCTCTTATACTTACTTGATTCCCACGGTAACTCTGTAAGAGGAGCGTTGTACTCTTGGTCCCATTTTCACAAATGTATTGGTTTTATCCAATACATAAAAGGTGAAAGACCCAAGTTTCCAACCCAGGTTTTTCTAACACAAAAACTCCTCCTCTTTCCACTACATCATACATTATGTTTCCTCCAAAATTAGTCTTAAGCAGGTCGCACAGTAAAGTCCAAACAAAGGGAGTTTCAGCCCGCTACTGATTCAAAGTTAGGATCACCGCATTCAAGATGAAATCTGTAATGAACATGGTTCAGCATCTAACCCTGATAACTGCACAACTCAGGCACTTAACTATTACCAGAATCAGAAGAATTATGCAAGTGAACATATCTCGGTACACACCAGTAATCCAGGATTCAAACATCTGACAGTAATAAAAATATTCACAAATGCATGACGGCAAAAAAAAAAGGAGTTAAACACACACAATTACCTTTGGCAAAATATCTTTATCCTTTGATGGTGCTATCTTTTTGGCAAGAAAGCAAGTATTCCAATGAGATGTACTGAAATTCACAGGTGTGACTCCCTTTAAACAAAATTCAGGAAAACTAACTTCAAATCCAAACTGAAACGAATCCAAGAGAATACAGTTTCAGGCATCGTGAATAAAATCATAAAGATTAATACGTCATCCTTACTGCAATGTAAAAGTTAGAGGAAACCCACGTGTACACTTATGTTCAATCCCTCAGCTCACAGGGTAGTTCTTCCTCGGAGGCACGTGCCTCCGTTAATGAGGCAATGCCTCTGTTTTAACTTGTGCATGAATCTTTCATGAAACACGGCCCTTGACCCTTCCTTAACTGGCTAGAGCACGGTCAGCTCATTCTATGCGACCACAGGACCAAACAACCTCCTCCACATACACTTGCTCAGTGTCTGGATTTCCACCAATCTGTAAGTTATGCAAAGACAGACACTGTCTTCTCCACCGCTGGATGCTTAGTACGGTGCCTCATACATATTTATCTTCAATACTCACCGCTATAGAGGAGATAATTACTACACAGGTCACGGCAAAGGTGCCCTCAGTAGGCATGGTACCAGAACCACAGTAGCTAAACACTTACTGATTATTTTGTACTTTGAATAATTTAATTCTCATAAAAACCTATGAGCCAGAACTACTACTATCCCTATAAAAACTGACACCGACATGACACTTAGAACTGGAGCAGAGAAAGAGCTGGACTGAAATACAGCCACAGAACTCCAGAATCGATGTCCTTAGTTACTATAATGCCTCTTGGCGGAGAGATATTCTCCACTAAGAAAGTGAGTTCAAGTTTTAATGCCTACTGTGGATCTATTGATTTATAATTTCTGTTTAAAAGGAATAGAAGAACCACATGAAAAAGAACTCTGGCATTATCTGCCTAACCGTAAACACTCAGTTTCAGAAAATGCACACAAAAGCAATTCTCCTAGCTAATCATACTTGCCACTTTTCCGTTTGGCTATATGGTTTTTCCTATTAAAACCACTGGGCAGGCAGCTGTGGGAGCACCCGCCTGTCATCCTAGCACTCTGGGAGGCTGAGGCAGGAGGATGGCAAGTTTGAGCCTAGCCTGGGCAACTTAGTGACGTAGTGAGAGCCTGTCTCAAAATTAAAAAAAACACGAAAACGGTCTGGGGATGTAGCTTAGTGCAAATGGCCCTTGATTCAATCCACAGTACTACAAAAATAAAAAGATAAAAATAAAAAACAAAAACAGCTTGCCACAAAATTTTATCTGCAGATTTAGCTTTCCTGAGATGAAGGTGAGCAACTGAAAACCACTGAGAGTGGCCCAGCACACTGACACCCGCCATCTTCCCGGAGGACGCGGGAGCCCTGGGACTGCCAGGGCCAAGCTGGAGCGAGCAGCGCAAAACCACCTCAGAGGAACGCGAGGGCCTGCGCTGCCCTGAACGCCATGGTTTAATTCTGCCTGGCCACAAACGTGTACCAGACACTTCTTCCCACATGCACACCACCCGCCACAACCACTGAGCCTATTCGCTCTTAGTAAGAGATCAAAAAATGAAACTAGAAATTTAGTATTAAAGGAGTTTAAATAACTTAATAGGCTCATTTTGCGGTAGAGAAATCTGGGATCTAAGTTAGGTTAAAAAATGTTCAGAATTAGAGAGGTAATCGGTAGGAAGCTCACCAGTACGGAAACTTCCCTAAGCTATTTTTCTGCAGTAAATCACATATGTAATAAAATAAAGCAACTAATGCCAAGTTGTGTCCAAGTATCATTACATTTCAGAACTGTACTACCTAAAATATAACCAGTGATGATTTAAATTAAATCTAATTAAAATCAAATAAATTAAAAATTCAGTTCATCAGTTGAACTAGTCACACACAAAGGGCTCGGGAGCACTATGTAGCAAATGGACCGTTCTATTAGCACGGATATAGTGCATTCCTATTACTGCGAAAACTCTCATTAGTGCTAGCGTGGGACATCTGTCTTGGGTACATTTACACGAGACTCACTCAAACTCCCTGTGTTGCAAAGCTGAAATGCCTACTCTGTACCCTGCGAAAACTGGGAAATCCACTTACCTTTCTTTCCCATATCTGAATCTTTCCCCTCCACAATTCCTTTGAGTCAATTACATTTCCGAGCTCTTCTAAAGATACAACATTAGCAGAAAGGTATTCTGCAATCTTCTGACAGTTTCTGTTTCAAAAGAAAAAGTGAAATTACATAGTTATATTTTACTTCTATTTAATGGTTGTAGTTTAACTACAAGTCTAAGAGGCAACACTCACACCGCTGTTTGTGTTTGTAACTAATGTATGGAATGCCCATGTTATGGTTTATGTCTGGGTGTCCCCCCAAAGCCTCATGCAGCCATGGGGCAGGCTTTTAAAGTTTGATTGATTAGGGGTGTGAGAGCTGCACCCGCCCTGGAGTGGATAGTTTGCATATGTAAGGGAGAGGAAAAGGGTGCTTGAGGTGATTCCTCCCCCATTCCGCCCTGGTGTGTGGTTGTTGCTTTTGCTGTGTTCTGCCACCATGGGCTGCAGCCCTCTGCCATGTGCCATTCTGCCTTATAATCTGCCAAGTACGGAATGAAACCTCCACAAACTGTAAGGTAAATAAACCTTTCCTTCCTTCATTTTGGGCATCAGGTATTTTGCCCCAGCAATGAGAGAAAAGTAACCAAGACAGCCCACAGCATCAATTCGCTGACCAAGGTCAGCCACACACTCACCTAATGCTGCATCCCCACAAACTAAGTGTGGTCAGCCTTAGGATGAGGATACAGACTGTCCTCATACTTTTAGCTTACATATGGCAGCTGTCCACAGGCTGAATGGCCACTCCTTGCCACACAGTGTTTTACTGGTTCAACGACAGCACCTATCACAGACGATCCCGACCATCAGCAACCTGCACTCCCATGAAAAGACAGTGGCTTTCACGTCCTGAACACACTCGCATGTGTGGCCGTGCGTGCCTGGCATAGTCAGCACTCAACAAATGTGCAGTGAATGAAAAAAGTCATGAAGTTCAGAAAGCCAATTTAAATACAAGATCCAAAACTGGTAAGTACGATTGATTCCACTGAAATGTCATAGAACACAGCAATGTTCACTTATTCCATGGTGGTACATAACACAGAAAACAGACACGAGACTTTAAATCAAACATATACATGTATCCATGGTGTTCATCACAGTGCTCACTAGACAACCAAGCCTATTTAAAAGCAAACAGCGATCCACGCTCGATACTGGTGAGAAATCACCATTTACTAAAAACTATTTTTTACTATTTACTAAAAACTTAAAACATCTTGGAATCTGAAATAAGAAAAATCTAGATTCTTCTCGACACATACGACATCAAGCTTTACCCTGTCACATTACAATAGTTTTCAAATGCTGCATCCATTCAGCACAGGGCAGCTGTTTGGACAACAAGACAATAACCATGACCAAAGCTTACGATCCACAGTGATTTCCTGCCATAGTAATTTTTGCTGAATGCCATTCTCTCAGATGTTTTAATGCTCCGACAGCAGGTAAACAGTCTTTCAATTTAGGAGGATCTTTGTCAGAGGGCAACAGGATTATGTCTATCATTGCTCTACCTAAAAAGAGAAAAAAAACCATGGTAGTCTTTCAAAGGCATTGGAGCTTCAGGGCCTTACAGTTCTACCTGAACATTTAAATTTTATGTTTATTTAGCAGATAAAGGAGTATTTTCATTTTTAATTTCTGAAATTCTTCAAAACAATACAAGTTGGATTTCAAAGTTTTAAATATTCATCATTTAATTTAAAGCCAGGTTATTCTGAAATAGCATACACAGAGAACAGCGAACTATATCATCAGCACTTACTAATTCTGCAGCCGTGGTTAATTACACACGTTGGTCTGCAGATCATCAATGCTATTGTTATACTCTGCAGAGGAAAAAAACCTGCAATTTCATTATATTCCTCTATACTTAATCTTGTTATCCAAAAGGGAATAATTAGTATAAAATTACAATGCTCAAATAAATTATTTCTCTTTAACAGACAATAAAACATTTAGCAAAACCACTTATACCGACAGCATCGCTAGATTCTGAGAAGTAAGACTAACTTGGCATCAGTTTAAATTTCTTGAAATTATAAATTTACCAAAGGACTAGAAAAATCAAAATGAAACAGAAACTAAATAAAAATGTGATAAAGTCTTTTAATTTGCCAAAACAACAACAGTATAATATTGCAATGCATATTTTCAACCTGATACATTTCATCAAAAGAAAAATGAGCAGCTATTGGTGGAGCTCACAGGTAGAGTGCAGGTTTAGCACGCACAGGGCCCTGGATTCAATCACCAGCACCAGAAAAAAAAAAACCACCCACATCAGTGGTGGTGAACCTATGGTACACGTGTTATTTTTCTTTTAAGACAAAAGATGTTAATGTATGAGTTGTTCTCTCTAAACTAAAACCTCAGTATTCAGGTTTAATTGCAGTGTTGGCACTTTGCAATAAATAAGTGGGTTTTGATTTGCAGTTTGGGCCCTCGTCCCTAAAAGGGTCGCCATCACTGATCTCTGTTCATTTATCAATTTATCCAGGTATTTTCTATGAGGGACTTTTTGCACTGAAACACGATCTTCTTGAGTACAAGGGTTACCAAGGCTGGGAGCTGTCAGACTCTGTGATGGAGACCCAGGCTTCACTGCTCACTGCATACCCAGCTCCTAGTACCACACGTGCCACGCAACGTGACCAACTAATATCTGCTCAGTAATGACTTTCTCTCCGGAGGACATTCAAAAAGGAAACTCCTTCAGGACTATCTGTGAGTGCCAGATCATATCAAATTTTAGGGGACACCTACTTGGTTAAAGCCAAGAAAGGTTAGCTTAGGACAAAAACAGCTTTAAGAATACTGTGACACAGTACTTCACAAAATACATTTTGCATTGTAGGAAAAAAAAAAATGGTTCTACAAAGCAATTGCTAAGCAAAGAGCTTCTTCTACTGCCCAAAGTTCCCCATGATAACGCGCGTATTAGCTCCGCCATAGAAGAATGCTATCTGAATGATCTAGTTTATGAAAGCTGCTTTTCCAAGAGTGGTTTCCAGGGTTAGTGGTCTCTATATAGAAAATATTCTAAAAAATAATGTTAAGTAGTGGTAAGATTGCTTTTCAGTAGTGATTAAATAAGAAAACATGAGTATTTAATTTTCTAAATTCTAATTTTTGCCTAGAAAATAATAAAAAAACTAATTTTGTTTAGAAAATGATAAAAAGCATTGTAATGTCTCAGTAACATACTCAGAAAAATAGAGCAGTACATTTTGTGTAAACTTCAATTAAGAAACCATTTTTATTAGTATACGTTTGCAATGCATAATAATTACAAGCATCCTGGGGAACTGGAACATATTTTTCATCTCGAATTTCAAAATGAGAATGTTAGCACAAAGACTAAATTCATCACTCATTCATAAAAAAGTATACAAAAAGATACAAATTCTCAAAAACACTCATAACCTTACCGGGAGCAGGAAGCTTGTCTGATAACTGATGCAAATTTTCTGCAGATTCTTCATATAGCCTAAAACAAAAAGAAGAAAAAACCTATCTGTATATAACGGTGGTCACAGCAGGCGATGATGGTCTACGTGCTAACCGCGTCCCTGATGACTAACAAAATACTGCTGCTGTCACCACTAATGTGTGTGACGAATACAGACCGAAACTAGGGTTCAAGCACTGTGTTCAACTTTGTATCAGAAAAACAAATACGATCAGCAAAATAAAAAGGGAAGCAAGGTCTGTAAGTTATATTTTATATGTTAAATATAAATGATAACTAAAATACCAACATTTTTCTGAACCTGCAAAGTAAGCTTTCACTAGTGTTTAATAAAGAAAACATACTGCTTTTCCTTAAGCCACTTTAACGGTGCTGATTGAGGAGCACTGTGTCCTCTGCAGATCCTTTAAAACCTGAGGAGGATGAAAATTTATCCCTGTGACGAAATTTTCTCTAAAGAGCTGGTCACATAGATTATTAAATCCTTTGGGATAAACAGATACTGTCCTAAAAAGCCATCGTGCGTAAACGACAGTTCTCAGGCTCCCTCTGGTGGAAGTGATTATTAAGTCACTTACCAGAAGTTTTACTTTTACACCTGCCATCTTTTAACATGGTGGGAAAACATGGATTTGTAAGAACTTTAAGGCAAAATGAAGGGCGCGCTAGAAAACATCTACAGGAACCTCAAGGCTTCATAGGTGAGAGGAGAAGGGCCCAGAAGTCACGCGCCTGGCCTGAGGTGAGGCAAGCAGGGACCATGCTACTGAGTCCTGCGCCCCAGCCCTGCGATGTCAACCTGTGGGAACTGGCACAAAGGGTAGGGTCCGGAAACCAGCAAAGGAGTATTTAAAGCCTGCACAATCCACAGATACACTGTATGAACATAAAATAAAACAAAAGGAGTGTTCTGTCACAGAGTAGGAAGATGAAGACAAAAGTGAGAGGTACTATGAGTCAGAGAGGGGACGTTTTATGAAGAACAAAATGAACACAGGTCGTCACCGGGATTATCGCTGTACCACAATCCAAACACGCGAACTCAATCAGAAAGCCTCGGAGTTCTTTGTGGATCTTAAGAAGTATACGAAATGCGGAAGATTAATATACATTTTAAAAAATCACAGGTTTTCAGCCTCAAACAGGAAAAAGAAAAGAACACTTTGGTTTGAAAGCTATTAATAACATTTCTAGTCAGTTTTAAAATATACTGTCTGTCAAAATTTACTTTCAAGTAAGCGACATATTAATTAAAATACCATTTTATAATTCTTGCAATGTGAACTTATGAAAGAAACCATTTTCAGGTGTCAATTCCTTCATTTTAAAGAACTTCATTCTGATAAAAGACCCAAATTATTTCTTCCCAAATAAAGAGTGAAAATTTTCAGTTAATAACATTTCCTTACTATAGTTGCTAAAACGTAAACTTCATTTTCCTGACTTAGAACTCTCTAAAGTTAAATAGCTTCAAAGTGGCATAAAAAGAACACACACATACTCAGCCAAGGAGAAGGACTCCCTACTGTGACCGTCTTCTTCCTCAAAACACTCAACGGCACTCAAACATTCTTCAGTATTTGTTTGAAGAACATCTTCAATCTTATCTTTTTCTGCATCAAAATGTATCTCTTGCCAATCAGAGCTACAAAACTAATACATTGAAAGACACATTAAAACAATGGCTGCTGGAACCCGTGGGCACAGCAAAGGCATTGGCTAATAGCAATTACCTGGTAAAAGCTGGAAATCGTCTGCACGGCAAAGAACCACTTCTTGGAGCCAGGAACGCCACCCACTGAACAGGCTTGAAAACAAAATGATGCTTATTACAACAAAGGCGGACCACACATAAACTGATGGCATACTACACCTACTTAAAAAGTTGTGTGCTATGTAAGCATATTCTATAGTTCTCCAAGATCAATCCATCTATCCTTTAAAAATCTCTGCTAGAAATTCAAGCAGAACAATCTGTTTCAAGAGCAAAATTACAAAACACTTTGCATCAGTTCATTATAACACAAAATCCATATTATTTAAATCTTCATGTAACACTCACTCAAATCTACTCTAAAGATGTTGAAAAACACACGTAAGGCTTATTACCAGCGAGGAACCCAAAGCCATGTAAGTTATCAAGGGAAAACAACTCTCCCTGGAGACTGTGCAGGCGTGGTTCAGCCTGGCTACAGAGATGCTCTTCTTGGAAAAGGCAATATTCCAGGAAGACAAGACATTAGAAGCCTCCCGAGACACCTACCAGAGGAATTAGGAAGAATTTAGAGCTGGTTACAGAAACCAGACTCAAAGGAGAGCGGGGAAATATGGTGAGGTTTCACTCATGGAAGCTGGCTATGATGCTAAGTGCCTATCACCAGCTTGTTCGAATCATCTCAGCAGGACACTTTACCGCCTGTTTCCTTAGGAGAAGAGGAGCCATAGTCATCACACCTTTTGGAAAATGTACAACTCCATTTGCACCACTTTAGTCTCTGCTCTTTCCTTCCCCTTAAGGTACAAACGGCACTGACCCCCCACCCGAGGTTATCCCTCAAGCTCCTCTGAGACTCTGGCCTTGTTACGCCAATCTGTTCCTCTCACTAGCATTTAAATACAATTATTTCTCAAACTACTATTTTTTTCCAATTAATTTCTTTTAAATTTACCTTTCTTTTTCAGTGACTACTATAACTTTTCCTTAATGGAGAAATTTTTTATCTCTACTTAACTCTCTGCCTTAGCTTATCAACTTTCCCACTTTCCTCCAGATACATTTCAATTTTTTTTCATTTTGTTTTGTTTGGTCTCCAAAATGTCTCTGAAACTACACTCACCATGGTCATCGATAACTGACTGTATGAAACCTAATAGTTTTTAGCTTTGTTGTTACTTAATCTCTCAGTGGAAGAGTAAAACAACAGATCAAAGATGATCCACTTGACTTCTTTTTTCTTAAAACATGTGATTGATGTGGCTATTTCTCTGCCTGCTCCTTCTCGGTCCTTTAAAAACTGGTGACAGTTCCTTTAAATATTGGGATTCTGTTTTAGATTTTCTGTCTTTGCCACTACTGATAAGCAAGCTTTTCTTTCTCATGGCTTCAGCTGACATCTATACATTAATGACTCTATCATCCTTCTCTAGCCCAACCCTGCAGGCATTTTGAAGTAAAGATAGAAAAAGAAATGATAAATAAGTCACTTGGGAGCATTAATAATGTAGTTTTAATAAGGACAAAATCCTCCTCTTAAGGCCATATGACCTTATATTATATGTATCTGAAGATGAGCAAGAACATTTTATAAAGAAAGTTAAAATTCAAGTTGAGAGAACAGAATGATTTTCCTAACAACTTTATGACATTTAAGATTTATCAGAGAATGAGGTGTTACGTTATGCTTACCAGGGAAAGTACTATCATCTGGGTTGATGGAAGCACCAATGCTTCTTTTTAGGAGATGATAAACATTTGCTGCCATGAAGTCTGAAAAGCAAATATAATCTAAGTCAGTGGTCCCTAAGTTACATAATATAGGTCTATTTCAATTTCACCATCAGAGACTCTCAAGACCAGTAAAATAACTACCGACATGCTAATCAAGATATTCAAATTTTGATAGGATAAACCGAAAGCAAGCAGGGAATACAGGGAAAGCACTTGGTTTACACATGTCAGCACAAATCAAAAACTCTCTCAACAGAACAGAGAAACTGTCCTGACGACTTTTACACGATCACATATATTTCCTCCTAAGATTTGCTTGATCAAAAGTAAACAAGTAAAACGCAATACAGTCTCAATAGGTGCGCTAAAAAGCAACTAAATCTGTTAAAATCGTACAAATTTATCATTTGCTTTTTAAACGTAATTCTATATGCGACGTCACCTCCCATTAGAATGTGAACTGTAGGTCAGCAAGACCCTTATTTTCGTGTTCCTTTCTGTACTTCCTGCTAGTGGAACACTGGAGGCGTAAACATATAGTGAATGCACACTTTTTTCTGAGCAGGAAACTCCATGACTAAGGTACGGGGGATTCGATTTTTACTGTGCCCTGAATTTTTGGGTGCGGGGACCTTGCATCCACAGGTTTGTACCGAGTTTGCCACGAAGCTGATGTATTGTCATCTCTCGCTAGATCTCTCTGGGTCATAGTCACGGCGTCTTGGGACATTTCGGCCCACGTTACTCGCCAGCGAACCTAAGCAAAACTCAATGGGCGTCCTCTCCCTGCCACCCGTTCCCGCCCTTTCTAAGTCCCGCGCTCACCAGGCTGTTTCTCGGTACAGTCACCCGTTGACACCTCTGATCCATGTTCTGCTTGCTCACTGGCCGTCGATGGAAACTTTCCTTCACCCCAGATCGCCAGCAGCAAGTACCGATCCATCTCCCGGCTCAAAGTTACTTTCAGGTCTCAAAACAGCCGCGCCTCTGAGGCACTTCCGGTTTCCTTCCGCTTAGTTCGGCTGGAAATTGTGTCCACGGTCTGTCTTATGTAGGTTTCCAGGAACTTTAGGAAATTCTTCTCGGGCATGATCCTCTCGATAACGCCATTATTTCCTCCTTTCAGGATAAAATTGTTACGGTAGGACGAGTGGAAGGAACCTAAGGAAGTGGAAGAAGCGGAGGACAACTGGACGGGCCGGGAACTGTTGTGCTTCGGTCTGTGCATTTCCCGCCGAGCTGGTATTGGTGACGACCCGACCTGGCTTCCGGTACGTGAAGGTCCTGCGGGCGGGGAAACATGTCGAGCTTCTCCCGGGCGCCCCAGGTGAGCTCGGAGTGCTGTAGCTCCACGCTGTTCCTCGGACGGGCAGAGAGAGAGCAGTGGTCCCGCGGACTTGGTAACGAAGCCGAATCAGGAAAGAGAAGGCGGAACCGGTGGCCGAGGTGGGGGAGGGGCACGGGCAGGCTCGCGGGTCTCGCCGCCCCTGGCTACTGTTCTGCCGTCGTCCCCCCTTTTCGGCCAGCGCTTTTCGTGCCTTTTTTTTTTTTTTTCCAAGAAAGAAATAGAGATGATCAGAGAGGTAGCTAGGTGGACCGCGCCAGGGAGCGTTGACGAGCCGGGTCGGAGGGTGCTGATCTCGGGGCGACACGGTGTGGCGCGGGTGTGACGGCAGGCGTGGACCGGTGAACCAGGCTGGAGACAGGGTGCCCGAGCCCGGCAGCTCACGCTGGCGTTGGGCAGGATCGGGCTCCTCTGACGGCGGAGCCGGCGGGGTTTCTTGGAAGAGTAAATGTGGGCAGACAGCAAGAGAGAACAAAGATTGCTCTCGGGGTTCGGGTTCGCGCAGCTGGAGGAGTGCTGTCAGCGGGGTCGGGCAGGCTGGGGTTTGAGATTCGAGTAGGTTGCAAGACGACTTAGCCCGGTGCTGCTTCAAGGGTGCTTCCATCCTTGGAGTGTTTGCTTCTTGTCTGTGATGAGGTAGATGCAGGAAGTGAAATTAAACATTTTTAAGTGTTTATAGCCGTTTGACATTGTGTCAGCCTTTGTACTTCTTTATCAAAGTCCTTTGTTTTATAAAAGTGTCAGAGTATTGGTCTGCAGTGGGTGGGAGGAAACATCTCTTTCTCTATAGGCTGGTTTGAAGTTCATGCTGATTAATTAAAAATAAAATCACCAAGTCCAGTGTGGTGGTGCTTGCCTGTAATCCCAGTACTCTGGGAAGGTGAGGCAGGGGGATCATAAATTCGACCCCAGCCTATGCAATTTAGCGAGATGCCGCCTCAAAATAAATTTTAAGGTGGGCTGGGGATGTAGCTCAGTGTGAGAGGTTTGGGCTCACTCCCAGTTCTGCAAAAAATAAAACTGCAAGTCTAGTTTTCTAGCATTGTCTAACCTCTCATATCCAGAATTTTCTCAGAGTATAAAGACACTGGCAAATCCTGCAAAAACGGTGGTCTATATCTGAGGTAACTTAGACGGCAGGGACAATTCTTTACAACTTAAAATCCTTCGCCTTCAGCCATACTTCCCCACCTAGATTGTTCTGTTTAACTACTCAAAGTAATAAGAGTAATGAGAAATTTCCTTTTTCCAGAAATAGAAAGCAAACGTATTTAGTGATGGTCTTTTTTTTTTCTTTTTCTTTTTTCCATTAAAAAAGTATTCATGCATATTAGTTGTAGGGAATTGTAATCTGCAGGTTGCTTTTGGTAGTATGGCCATTTTAACAAGATTAATTCTACTAACCCACAAATGTGGGATTGTACATAGAACAACTTTTTCTATGTTCTAGTGTCTTCTTCAATTTCTTTCTTCAGTGTCCTAAACTTTTCATTGTAGAGCACTTTCATTTTTATTTTTTTAAGCTACTGAATAGAATTTTTAAATTTCTTTCTCAGCTAATTCATTATTGGTATATAGAAAAAGTTGGTTTTTTAATGATGGCTTTATATGTCACATACTCATTTCTCAAAGTAATTGTTGACATTAACTATAAAGTCCATATGAGAGCATAGAGCAATAATTTAATTATTTCCACTTTAACTTAGTATCTTCGTTTTGTTCTTTTTGTTCAAGCAATGGGCCACTTTTGCCCGAATGTGGTATCTCTTAGATGGGAGGATGCAGCCCCCTGGCAAACTTGCTGCTATAGCATCAACAAGGCTTCAAGGGCTGCATAAACCTGTGTACCATCAAATAAGTGAGTATCAATGAGCGCAAATGTTTGCATTTATATCAGTTCTGGAAAATGAACAAAATGCCTGCCGTTCGTAGCCATTGCAAGTATCATGCTAGACCAGTCCTTAACCATGAGGGTTGCCAGGCGTGGTGGCACACGCCTGTAATCCCAGCACTCGGGAGGCTGAGGCACGAGGATCGTTGTGAGTTCGAGACCAGCCTGGGCTACAAAGTGACCTCAAGGCCAGCCTGAACTGCATAGCGAGACCCTGTCACAAAAAGACACACACACACACACAAAAAAAAAACCAAAAACCGTGAGGGTTGTTCTTGTGCCCAAATAGAATCCTGGTGGAATTTGACTGGGCTGCGTTTAAGGCCTCTTTTGTTCTGAAAACTAATTCCGTTTCTTCTGAAAACTTATGAGGGCACTAAAAGTGCATTTGGCTTCCTCATGGGAAAACCTTACAGACTAGATTAGGGCAACCCCACTGCCAAGCAAAATTAACAGTAGCCCCTCTGCATTCTTCCAAGTACCTACTGTGACCCCTTCTTATACACGTCTTTTTGCATGCTGTCATGCATCGGAATAGAGAGTGTTTAAAAATAAAGGAAACCACTCGTAATCCTGCCTTCTCTTTTAAAATTTCTTTGCCCAGAAGGTTATATAGAGCTAGCCTGGTATAAAAATTTACATTTCACTGTTTCAGATTAATAGATTGGCTTTTCTATATTCTTTCTCTAAAATAATGCAAAATATAGAAAGGTGGTTTTTATTCTAGAAGAGTTTTAGTGTAGGTAGTTTGATTTGACTTTGCCAAGACACTTCACTGCCAGATCCACACATCAGTGTTTTTAGCCCATCAGTAACGTTTGCTGCAATCGGTCACATTTTCAATTAACTTTTTATTGTAAAGTATGTCAAACAGGGCTGGGGATTTAGCTCAGTGGCACAGCGCCTGCCTGGCAAGCGCAAGGTCGTGAGTTCGATCCCCAGTACTGGAAAAAAACCAAAAAACCAAAAAAAAAATATGTCAAACATTGTTATGGTTTATGTCTGTGTGTCCCCTCCAAAGCCTCATGTGACCTTGGGGCAGGCTGTTAGAGTTGAATGAATATGGGTGTGAGAGCTTCACCCGCCCTGGAGTGGATAGTTTGCATATGTAAGGGAGAGAAAGAAACTGCTTGGGGTCATTCCTCCCCGATTCTGCCCTGGTGTGTGCTTGCGGCTTGGCTGTGTGCTGCCGCCCTGAGATGCAGCCCTCTGCAATGTGCCACTCTGCCTTATAATCTGCCAAGTACAGATTGAAACTTCCACGAACTGTAAGCGAAATAAACCTTTCCTTCCTTAATTTTGGGCGTCAGGTGTTTTGTCCCAACAACGAGAAAAAGTAACCAAAACAAACATACAAAGGTGTATATGTGTATGTGTATGCATATTTCAAAAAAAAGTCATAGTAATGATTATAATGATGAATATTCATATAGTCAGCACTGTTTCCTTTTTTTTTTCTATTATAAACAGTGTTGTATTAATATTCTTGTACCTTTGTCTTGATGCGTAAGTGGAAGAATTTTTTTTCTGAGGTACACACACAAGCCAGGAACTCCCAGCCTAGGGGGAGCTGTTGAGTCTCTCATCCTCAGCCAACAGCCTGTGAGAGGTCCATTACTCCTCACTGTCACTAAGACCTGAGCAATTATCTCAGGACCTTTTTAGTTCTGACTCCTCCAGGAGATGGGACATGCTCACTGTGGTTTGTGTGCATTTTCCTGATTATAAATATGTAACAGTATCTTTTCATTAGTTTCCTGGCATTTGTAGTCTTGTGTGAAATGTCTTTGTGTATGTTTTATTCATTTTTTCCATTGGGTTATATCTCTTTTACTTTTTTTTTTATTATGAATGTTTTTAAACTTCAAAAAAACCTCAGTAGTGCAGTGAATTTCCTCTTCCTCCCCAGCTAGGGTACAGGATTGGTAACTTCCGATTGTATTTTCTCACTCAGCCATTTGAAAATATCGCAGATTTCATTGTCATGCTCTTAAGCCAGATGCTTCAGCATGTATCTCCTAAGAATAGGGGTATTTTCCTGTATAACTAAAATACCATGGCCACACCTAAGAAAGTAGACAGTAATTGAATTCTGCAGGTGCTTAGCCAGTGTGTTTTAAAACTCTGTATCTATCTGTGCAGGTGCTTAGCCAGTGCGTTTTCAAATTCCCTCTCTGTGCCAAGGGGTTCTTGCGTTATTTATTTGAACTTGGACCCACCCATGGTTTACTTATTGCCGTTAGTTGTTATGTTCCCTTAGTCTCTTTTAGCTGAGAATACTCGTTCTCTTTTTTGTCATCCTGAACCTTTGGAGGAACCCAGGCTAAGTTTTATGGAGAACCTTCTCCCGGAAACACCATCTTCACTGTTTCCTCAATGCCGCGCTCCATCTCTTCCCCCCATAACTTGTCCCCAGGCCCCTCTTCTGTCCTCAGCTTCTCAGGCCCCCAGTTGTTTCTGTCACGAAGAAGTGGGGAGGAGGGTGCAGTCCTGGGACTGATTTCTATCCTGTGGCCTTAAAACTCCTCTGCATGTGAAGCCCTCCCGAGCGTGCCGCTCTGGTTGTGACTCTGGATTACAGATGCACGTAAGAGGTTGCCACTCAGCAGATCTTCCGAGGCCTCTAGGAGCCAGCCTAGTAGACATCTGCAGCGCGGGAGCTTACTTGGAGGCAGCTTGCTCCTTTGCTGCCCTGCCTAGCGAGCATGCTCCTTCCCAGCACCCGCCTCTCAGGGAACAGCACCTCTGTTCTTTTAGCTCTGGTTGGTAACAGTTGCTTCACCAGTGACTCCTCCTCTATAAAGGTAGTTACTTAAAAAATTAGAAAAAATCTGACACCCAGCATGTCTCATTATATCTCCTTCTCCACTGAGACTTTAGGCTGCTCTGCTCCCAGCCTTGGCAGGTGAAGTCAGAGCCAGACTTTGGCCAGTGCTCTTCAGGGAGCTCTGTGTGGCCGCTGTTGCTTCTCTGCCATGATCTCCCACCTCTCAACCCACCTCTCGGCCCCTGAGCAGTCCTCTCGAGCCTGCTGCTTGCTCTTTTTTTGTTTTTCGGTTTGTTTTGATTTTAGTTGGGTGGGTGGGTCGCTGGGTAGGTGGTTTTTTGAGACAGAGTCTCACTGTGTAGCCCACACTGTCCTCCTCCTGCCTCGGCCTCCCCAGTGCTGCAATTGCAGATGTGCAGCACCACATGCAGCTCCTACTGCTCTTTCATTAACTTGCCTGCCAAACACATTCTTCGCCTCAGGGCCTGTTCGCGTTCTGTCCCCTCTGCCTGGATGTTCCTGCCCAGATCACCTGCATGGCTCACTTCTTCACACCTGTCAGATCTCTTCTCAAGCACTTGTACTAGGAAGCAGGCCTCTCTCACCCCATCTGCTCTCTCTTCCTAAACATGTACTTAGTGTTTTCTAAATAGCATTTATGTATCCCCTAGTATGTATCCATCATCTACCTTTGTTACTAGACTAAGGTTTCCGATCTTGTTGACAGCTTTACCTCCAGTGCTTGATACATGGTTGGGATGCCAGAAATGTTTGTTACGCACATGTTTGCATTTATATCAGTTCTGGAAAATGAACAAAATGCTTCTGGCTGGGTCTTTGCTACTTAAGCTGAGCTAGGTTTTTGGATCAGTGGCATTGTGGGAAGTACTGTGAAACTAGAAAAAGAATGCCCTCATCCTCCTAATAAGGATTGTCCCTCCGAATTTGGGACTGGAAAGCTTTTGAATATGTTTTATTTTCTACTGATAAAAGAAACATCACTTGATGATTTGTAGAGTATGACTTTAATATTCCAGAGTATTCTACGCCTTTCATTGTGAACAGTTTCATTCACTGAGGAGAAAATCGTGCATTTAAAAGAAGCAGAGCGAAACGTTACTGTAGTACTGCCAGAGTTATTTTAGATTATCTTCCAGTTCCCCTGGTCTGCACGGAATAAAAAAGTGACACCCAGTTCTTAAAGGTTAATGTGAAGTATGCTATCCTGCCACACAATTCAGCAAAGATCAGACTTACGACCTAATCGCCGGCATTCTACGACATAAGTTTATGATACTCTTCATGAACTTGCCTAACATAATTTTCTCTCTTACTGTTTAGTTAAGTGTCAGTCTGTTTCAACTGTTAAGCATCATATTCTTTTCATTGTGTGCTCTAAATGGTGTGTTTATACTTCATCTCTCTCCTAGAATGTGATCCCACAGAGAGTAGGCGGAAACCTTGGCTTCAGGTTGTGTCTAGGATACTTACCTCTTTGGGAAGTAAATGTTTGGAAACTGGCAGTAACAACGTGTCTTGTTACTGTCATGCTGTCTGTACCTTGGATTTCCTGGTACCTGCATCATCATCTGTGACACTAACCACACCAAATTCAAGAGTCATGTTGAAGTAGGTATTCGGAGACGAACACAAAGGCCAAAGCTGAACTTTACTGTTTAGTCCTAACTTGAAATAGCTATTTTCAGACATTTCTCAGAGCAAGTCTTACTGCTGAAAGCAGTACTGTGTGGTAGAAGGAAAGAAAAGACGTTGGCCTCTTCCCCGAAGTTCCCTTCTATAGACTCCAGAGCTCTAGCAGAGGCAACTGAAAAGCCACCGTGCTAAAGCAAAGAGCTTAGCAGGGGGCTCTGACGCGGAGGGGGATGGAAGGAGAAGCTGCAGCCTGGAAGAAAACACAGAGGCCACCAAAAAGTGTATACACCAGGAGAAGAAAAGCTTGCACATTATATTTTATATATTTTTTTAATACTAACTTTATTGAGGGTGCTGGGATATAGCTTAGTGGCACAGTGCCTTACCTAGCAAGCACAAGGTCCTGAGTTTGATTCCTGGTACAAAAAAAAACTTTCACTGCAAGCTCAGGAGATTAATGCAAGTTACTTTGGGCCTCTACAATTGCAAGAGGTACTCAGAGTGGTGCCATCAGCTTCCAGACATGCATTAGTACCGCGGTCTGCTAAAATGGGTATGCATTTTTTGGTGGACTCTGTATTTGTAATCCACATAGCCAACAAACGACTCTTATCTAGAATGTATAAAGAGCTTTTGAAGCTCAATAGTAAAAATCTAATTCAAAAATAGGCCAGATATATGAACAGAAGGCGAAAAGCCCAAGAAAAGCTACTCAATGTAAGCCATTAGGGAGGTGCAAATGAAAACCACCGTGAGCTCGCACCACACATCTATCCGAATAACTAAGCTAAAAATGGTGACCACGAAAGCTGGCGGGTGGGCACAGAACCTGGAGCACTCGTTTGTTGCTGGTGCAAATGTAAAGTGGACAGATGCTCTGGGGAGGAACACGGCAGTCTCTTCCAACTGGACTTACGCTTACCATACAGCACAGCGCTTGCACTCTTACTTCTTGCCAGGGAAAGGGGAACTGCAGTTCGTGGGATGATGCTGGTAAAACTCTGTGCCCCACTTTTATCAGCTCCTGGCGTGTGGCATATTATTTACCTGATTCTTTGTGGTCTCATGCCTGCCGTTAGATCAGTAATGGGGAACCTGTCAGAGCTTTCTTCAGTGATGACGCACAGCCAGCTGTGGGCGCACGGCCGTGGGGCCCGCACCACGCACTAGCGTAAGGTTCATCAAGAACAAGGCCTTCGGGAACATTCTCTGCTGTATTTCTAGCAGCAGGAGCTGCACCTGGCAGTAAGTATGTGGGGTGTTTTTTGAGTGGCTCGAGATATTTTCCACATATTTAAAGCTTAAATAGCATTCAAAAAATGAATTCAGTTTTAGTGGAAAGTTTAAAGATTCCAGTTTTTCTTTAAGTAGCTACCCGTGAAAGGACAAATGTTGAGTAGCATAGAACGTGAACTTTGGCAACTCTCTTATTCTCAAAAGCTTCAGCTTCTTAGTTGTAAGTTGCTGGAAGAAAGTTGAGATAATTTCAGCATTCTTTCAAGTGGCCTAGATCTCTTCTTTTTTATTTTTTTTTATAGATCTCTTCTTGACTTTATTTTTCTGACGCTTTTGACCAGTTGCCATAGAGGCCCACTGTGGGCCAAATTTAGGAACCTTTTCATTGCATTCGCAAATGCTGCCAGACTGTTTTGCAACCCTCGGACAGCAAGCTTTCTGTGGTTATATCTCTGTGTTCCCTTTTACCCTGGCCATGAAAGGCACCGTGACCCTCATCCTGTGTAGCTGGGGAACTGTGTCTTATCTGCTTTTCAAGTGCACTCTCTGCATGGAGTCTTATTATGTAATCTTTACTCATACGTCTTACTTTCAGTGACACTTTTTCTTAAGTTTCTAGAATCTTTTGAAGTTTGTTTTTTTCCATCAGAATAAGCATGTAATAAATACTTGAGATTACTTTGTTATAAACAGTGGTTCATGTGAAAACCTCCATACTGACTTGTTTTTAGAAGAACAGCCAAACTTTGATATTTTTCACTAGAAAGTTATATATATGTGTGTGTGTGTGTCTGTGTGTCTGTGTGCATATATATGTATATATTTAAAATGTGCATATATATATATATGTATTTCCCCCCCTTAGGTCATCTGTCCTGACAAATATATTTGTAGTAATAGTTAAGAATGGCAGTTTAAATTTAAAGTTAGTTGTGGTTGGAAAAAAAATCTGTCAGTAGTTAGGCATAATAGTGTTCTATTCTCTAATTTGATCGTAATGTCTCACATTTGTTTTCAATTTACCTGTTGGTAAAATATACTGTAAGATATATATGTATATATATACACACATACATATGTATGCATTCATTTTCTCTGGGGTTTATGAGGGAAGATTTGTATTAATTAAAGGTACTCATAAGTATTTTTAGTGAAATGTAATTGTTAATGGGAAGAATAATAGGAATAACAGTAGTTTGCCTTTAAAGGATGAATTGTTATTACTGGCATCTTTATTAAATTTCCTTACTTTCCAGTGTTAGGTTTTCCAAATGGCCGGCCAACTCTTTTCTATACTTAAGTGTTATATAAAAATGTAGCGGAAATCTGTTCAAGGATTTTTGATGTTGCACTGTGATTTGATTTCTATTATTTCAATGTGTTGTTTGGACTTTGATAATTTTACAAATGATCAAGGCTACTTTTTCTTATGATTGCAAGTTTTCATACAGTCTTTCTGATTTCTTTTTAAACCCAGGTGACTGTGGAGATCACGTTGTCATCATGAACACACGACACATTGCATTTTCTGGAAACAAATGGGAACAAAAAGTGTACTCCTCACACACTGGGTAAGCACGATCAAGGAAAACTGTTAAAGTGGATCATTTTGATACTGCTGCTCATATTTAAAAGGAAAAATGGGGTTTCCAAAATTGGCGTCTAAGAAAATAAGGATTTTACTTATATATAACATATTCAACCAAAACAGTCACGAAACCATGTCAAATCCTAGATATTACCTGACAGTATTTATTTATCCCATGAGCTTTATACAATCTTTCTGATCAAAATTATGCTCCTGGTTTCAGTCACCTGCACTTCTTTCTGCTTCCTGTAATTCATTTCTTGCTGTTTCCAGAGCTCCCTAAACTCCTCATATGTCAGTAGGACACCGTCAGCCTCCCCTGGCGCAGTCCTGTTTGTCAGGACCTCTGTCACTTGCATACATGTTCTCGATGACTTCTCATGGTGGCCAGCACCACGGGATCGTCCACCCCTTGCCACCGCTGGGCCAGGCAGTCCTCCGCTGCAGTGGCACTGTAGCGCTTCGTGGTCCCTGGAGTTACCGTCTGCTCCAGCCTCAGGCCCTCGCAGAGACACTCCTGTTCAACTGCATCTCTTTCTCATGAGCGCACTAGGAGTGTTCTCATCCAGCCACAAGACTGTAACTTTGCTCTGTGTTAAATTTTATCTCCACTCTTTTCAGTATTTTCTTATACATTAGGCGAAGACAAGGATAAATTTAAATAAGCATACCTTCTATACCAATTACATCTCCAGCCCCCCTGTACCCTTTGTATTTTTTATTTTTTAACAGAGTCTCGCTAAGTTACTGAACCTGGGCTCGAACTTGGGTTCCTCCTGCCTCAGCCTGGCAGAGTGCTAGGATTATAGGCATGCATCACCATGCTTGGCTCAGAGAACGTTGTGTCAATACTGTTTTTGGTCACTGTGTAGTAGTGTATTATGGTGGGCGGGGATAGAAAGAATTAAATCATATGATTCGCCACACTTGCTAGTTGGTCTGCTTTTTGAAATGATAATTTTGGTTTCTACAACAAGCTAGAAAATATCTTTATCTGTTAACTTTTTAACTGCATAGGGTTATGTAAAATAAATCTATGGAAATGTAATAGATTTCAGCATCAGAGGAGTGGTCATTTACAGGTCTTGTGACAGGTGTTTCCAAGCATGCTTTTACTATTGTATAAAAATGCCTGCTATTTCAAAATTAAAAATAATTTAATAATAAGGGAGCACGGCTGTTTTGATGATGTCAGTTTCATTTACATTCTGATGAGGCTTCATTCTTTCCTCATCACCTTCGATGAACATCTCGTCTATTAAGACTATTGATCTACTATTAATGGTTTTTTTAACTTTTTTTTTTTTGGTACCAGAAATTGAACTCAAGACCTCGTGCTTGCCAGGCAGGCGCTCAGCCGCTGAGCTATATCCCTTAAACCTTATTTTAATAAAGTTTCGCTAGGATTTTCTTATTTTTATATGATTAAATAGACATTCATTTTTAATCGTTTAGGGATTGGATGAATTGAGTCCGTACATTGAACTCTCACATCTAACTCACCCAAAACATTTTGGCCTTAGTTAGAAGTACAGCTTAGTACTAGTGGCACCTTCATATTTATCTGTATATACCCGGTACCTATCTACGGAATACTTATAAGTACTTATTGAACGAATTAAACCCAACGCCCATGGCTGTCTTTAAACAGATCTTCCCTTACTCCATCCAGGATATCCCACATGGAGGGAAGCAGGCAGTTATTCTTTTCTCTAGTAAAAATCAGCAAGTATTGGATTACTCAAGTGTTCCCCTGCTCAGAATTTTACATTAACTTTCCAAATAGTGCAGGAGAAGTCCAGGCCCCTAAAATACCAGAAAAAAGGTTTTATGCCTTAGACTCCACCATCCCAGGGTTAAAATCAGGAAGATATCTTTAGCATAGAATTTACAAGGTGCTTTTCCATGGAGACAGTACAGGAGTGGAAGTCTAGACAGATAATTCTTCTGAAACTGAAATTTTGTGAAAAAGATAAAATAATACTAGCTTGAAAATTAGTTTCTTAATAAACTTCTAAATTTAAGTTTTATTCCTAAAATGTGACTCTTTAATCCCTCTTTAAAATGTTTTAAATTTTTTTTTAAAGAAAATTATGAAAGGAGTCATATTTAGGTAACCTTAAGTTTTTTTGTAGAGTCCACTGGTTTCTCTTCAGGGTCATAAACCCTTATATTTATGTATTGTTTTTGTTTTAAAATTCTTTTATTTGCAGGTTTTATTTTTATTAGTACATTTTTATTTTAAATTTTTAAGCTCTTTTGCAAATACTTTCTTATCTGAATGAGAAACCTTGTGAAGTAGCTGGAAAAGATTATTTTTTTATATGAGTAAAATCATGTAGACAGGTAAAGTTAGCTGCCTAATAAACAGAGTCATGGTAAAACCTAGTTTCCAGGCCTGGAGCTGGGAAATCCAAATTACTAAATTGACTAATACTATCCCAAATATTTTCATTTGCCGGTTTATCCATCTTTTATATTTAAATTTGAACAGAATTATTTTTTTACTGAGAGCCACACGTAACTCCCAGTGGCCTTTAAGCAATAATCAGTAGAAAAACGGAATCATTATCTGTCCCGAGTCTGAACAGGACCTCACAAGCAAGGGGTCTGGCCGTCAGTTCCCCTGGACCTGCCCTGCCTTGCCTGCTTGTCTCACTTGGGAAGAAACATGAAACGTTCTGGCTCATTGCTGTTTCTGTTTTAAACTGAGCAGTGATAAACCACCCACAACAAGCGAAGTGGTAGCTTAAAATTGGGAAAACATGGCCACACCAAGAAACTCTTCCAAGACATAGAACTGTTAATGATGCAGTCATAGTTGGCTCCTCTAGACAGCAGCATTTCCAACAGCACATGTTGCTGCTTAATTTCTAAGACACTGATAAGCAGCGTAGTTAAAACCAAGTGCAATGCACTGTGATTAATTTAAGACTACAGTACCCTGCCGGCACCACGACCAACGCCTTCGCTTCCTTTAACAGCTACCCCGGTGGATTCAGACAGGTGACGGCTGCGCAGCTCCACCTGCGGGACCCGGTGGCGGTGAGTCTCTGGCTTTCTGGCCAGCGTCGTGCGGCAGCTGGTCTGGGCACAGTGTTTTCAGTCTCCTCGCTCCTAATGTAGTTCCCAGTTCAAGACTGTAAACCCTTCACCCTGGGCCTGCAGTGTATCGTTTCTGTCCAGGCCTCTGGGTTAAGGCATGCGCTTTAGAACTTGATCTCTGGAAATTCTTTGTGACTTGTGTTAAAGATTTATTTACCCTCTGGCAGTTGCATGGGAGTAGTATATAAACCCAAACTCCTTTAAGGTGAGATATAAGAGATTGTGAACCCCATTATGGATCAGCAAAAACCTTTTTAGAAACTTCCCCCACGGCACACCCTGCTGTTTTTTTTCTGGAGAAATCTGCACTTGTGAAGGGGTCCCTTGGCCCGGATGGTGACCTTTTAAAATGCAAGCTCTGCCCTGAGCTCACACCTTCAGGACAGGTGCCAGCGCTAGGACTCTGCCCTGAAGTTCTTTCTCATTTCTGGCCTCCCGTTGGCTCCGTGCTTTAAAAAGTATTTTTATAAGCAGTGTCACTGGCGTTGTTAATGTTGAGGCCGCACCTGCTACGCGAGTTCTATGCTAGGAGCAGTCCTAGCCTGTGTTGGTCTTTAGCACCGCACAGAGCAGTCTCCTGTGCCCTTTGCTTTTCCTTCTTCAGCTCTCAGTAGGAATGGCCTTAGCTCTGCTTGGGGAAGAGAGTGTTTTCTCCTTTAGGGGCTGTTGTAGCTGTTACCTCAAAACGTCCCTAAATGAAGGGTGTTAGACTCTGAAAATACATTTTTGTTTATTTTCCTAAAATGAAGTTGGAGGGGGTGTGTGTATATAAGTCCGACAGACCATTTCGAAGCTCCATATCTTACTGTTTATTTTGGATCATTTATCTGTGTCTTAAAAAATGTATGCTCAGAGATTGCGTGTTAGGTAATATTTAGTGTTCTCTTTCATAACTTGTTTTTTAAAGAGTATTACAGGTCACTGTATTTTATTTTTAATGCTTTGACTTGAATAGATTAAAAGTTATAAAGGCAGCTGACAGTATTTCCATAACTGTTAAAACACATCATAGTTTTTTGTTGTTGTTGTCCTTTTCTTTGTTTTTTTTGAGACACGGTCTCCCTGTGCAGTTCAGGCTGGCCTTGAGCTCACTTTGTAGCCCAGGCTGGTCTCAAACTCACAATGATCCCCCTGCCTCAGCCTCCTGAGTACTGGGCTTACCGGCGTGCGGCACCACACCCGGGCCATAGTTTTATATTTCAAAAATTTTTTTAATTTAAAAATTATTTTCTGTGTTTTCATTGGGCTCTAGGAGGCAGTATAGCCCAACTTTTTAATGTAAGAAATCTAACATTTGATAACACTTATAAAAATTGTTTAGAATCATTTTTATGAGCAAAAATTGAAATTATTATAAAATGCCTGATAAAGAATTAGAAAATATTTCAGAGTTAAATCATCTGCAGTTTTGCTTGGTGAAAGAGCTCAAGTTTTTTTAAATCTTAATTTTGTCTTTGAATTCTGAAAAGAATGACTTCAGGAAGAAGTCAGTTATTTTGTTTCCAGTTCACTCCCAATGCTTGTCTGGAACAGTGGGCTCTGCCTACAGTCATAATTTGCTAATTAGAACTTTCTTCGTGGAACTTTTCAGATCATTTGTTTCATTAATGGACCCTGATTACTGGTATAGCCTTGGAATGTTGGTAAAATACATTACTTGATATTTAATAGCTAAATGAGCAATAGTAGTTCGTTGAGTATATTTTATATTCTTGTAAATAGAACATTCTAATTTCAAGTAAATACATTGAGTTCTTTCTTCATATCCTTTATCCCTGTCTTATGTATTTTAGTTTAAGAAGTTTTCTGTCCTTGTATTTTCTTATATTTTCTCTTTCTTTTACTTACTGAAGTTATTTTTTGTGCAATAAATGCCACCGGCCCCTGGATTGCAGATTATATGAGGAAGGTCTTGAGTGTTTATTAACCCTTCCTTCTCCTGTCTTTGTACCTTCTAAAGCTTATCCCTAAGTCTACACACCTAGAATTCCTTGATTGCACTGATGTACTCTTCACATTGATTTTTTTGTTTACCGTGTGTTTGTGTATCTGTTTTTTCTTCCTGTTAGCTTGTAACCTTTTCACATTTTCTATCTTTTCCTAGTTTTAGTGTGACGTTTATATTTTTTTTAATGGAACAGATATTTTTAAAGTACTTATTTGGTAACTCAAATAAATACAACTACATTTTTATGATTATAAATACCAAGTGTCAGGTAGCCCTACTAATGCAATACAATCCCTATAATAATAATATTCAGAGGAGGTAATGACTTGCTTATCCAGAAAAGATGCAAAGTAGTCTTAACATTGTCAGTTCATTGTATGACCTTTAAAGCATTAAAAATGTACCTGATCTTGTCACACAGGCCAGTGATCCCAGTACTTTGGGAGGCCGAGTTAGGAGCATTCAAGCTCAAGTTGCCTGGACAATTTAGTGTGAACGTGTCTCAAAGGAAAGATTTTTATGAAGGGCTTGGGTTGCAGCTTGGTGCGATGGCCCAGGGCCCAGTCCCTACTACTGCAAAAGAAAAGCTGTCCTGGGGAAATGTTTCGTGTGCACTGTAGTAGCCACTCTGCCACATGGGAAGTGGCCAGTTACAGTAGAGCTTGTGTGACTGCGGAAGTGAATTTATCATTGCTTTCAACTTTGATGGTGAAATCTATGTATAATAAAGTCTCGAGCGCATAAAGCCATAACAGCACAAAACAGTAATCTCTGCTGCATGTCGTTAGCCTCTGTACGTCCTGAGGTTTGGGGGTCTGATGTGATGAGAAAATAAAAGGAACAGGGGCCCTCATGTCATGCAGCTTTGTTTCACATGTTGCTGTAGTGGGTTTGTTTTAGCACACATCAAATTGCACCCTTGGATCTGAGTACTAACAGTAGACCAGTTTAACACGCCGGGTCTCCAGGAGCACTTTCCTGAGCGCTCGAGGGCAGTATGCAGGCATCCCGTGCCCAGAGGCCCTCGGAGGCTTCCTCTGGGGAAAGAACACATAAAACTACATCCAGATCAACAGTGGGAGTACCTTTAAGAGGAAAAAGGTGATCACAGAACAGCTCGTTCGCCCCTCAGGAATGGGTCCTGGAGAACAGTACCCGCTGTCTTGGTAGGTTGTGGAGAGGACGCATTACGAATGCACTGCACCTGTGCTCTCTGTGTGTGCTCTGGGAGTCGGGCTGCCTGGTTTGAACCCCAGCACCACCACGAGTTAGGTACATGGAACTGGAGGAGGTCTCTATCCTCGGTAAATCTGTTTTCTCATCTGTGAAATGAAGCTAGTTATAATCCTGCTTTGCAGCATGGTAGGATTTAAAAATGAGTCATTTCCCACTGTCCACATAGTAAGCTTGTGGTGACCAGTAACCAGGAGAACTGCACGCTTGTGTCGCACAGGGTCGGTCTCAGTTGATGAAGGGAGACGTTTGGCGTCTGCCGGGTGGAAGCAGGCCGAAGGCGCCCAAGGTTCTGCCTAGCGAGTGTGTGACAGAGGATTTGAGCCGCAGATTCACACAGAAGTTTGGAAAATTTTTTGATTGCTATCAAAAATTAGGACACACATGGATTATTGATCTTGTCCTTTTTTCTAAATGAATAGTAAATTACACAAAGAGCGCCTAAAGCAAATAGTGGGTGCAAAGTAGTGGATGTCCCTTTTCTGTTGCTTGCTTCCACATACCGTCCTCGCTGGCCGCCTTTCCCGAGTCACGTCAGCGCCGCGCGTATCTGTTTTTCAGATCGTGAAGCTCGCTGTGTATGGCATGCTGCCCAAAAACCTGCACAGGAGAACCATGATGCAGAGGCTTCATCTCTTTCCAGACGAGGTGAGTCGCTGGGCGTTGGTGGCGATGCCCTGCCCGGGCTCCCGTCAGGCATCGTGCTTCCTTCCACCTCAGTGCCGCAGGCTCTCTTGGAACAATTTGATCCTAATCTCGCATATTTTTGTGCTTAAAACTGGATATATGTGATATATATATATTTATTTATTTATGATAATTAGTCTTATTTTAAGCTATAAAATGAGCCATTATTGGACTAAAAATCAAAACTACAAGTTCTGGGTTTTGTTTTTGTTGTTGTTTCATTTTACTAACTGCTTTCGTGTAGAGAAGCCCCCAGGAAGTAGAGGGTCCCATTGGTAGTTTCAGCTGTGAAAAGAAAGGTATTAAGTTCGTTTACTTTTTATTTGACAAGGCCAAGCCTTCAGTGAGTCATGGATTACTAATGCTTTGGTTGCTGATTTTTCCCCATCATTTCACTTCACAATCCTTGTACCTATTCAAAATTTATCCAGCTAAAAAGTACTTTTTTAAAGTATATTTTTATTTATTACTGTTACGCTTTTCTCAGTCTAGGGAAAATAGTTAAGCATAGTCTCCGGACCCTGGCTGCCGGAGTTAGAATCCGTGTGCCCGCATGGACTTGGTGGTGGACACGGTGCAGACACTTTTGACCTCTCTTCTCACCCGGGAAGGGGACATAATAGCGAACCTGTGTCAGAAGGCTGTCGTAAGAGTGAAATGAGGCGCGGTGTGCTCGTGACGCGCTCACAACAGCCTGGCCCAGCGAGTGCGAGCTGCTGGGATTGCCGCGGTTACAGTTGTTGTCCTCACAGCTGTGCTGAAGGAGTAGTGTGGAAATTCACTCCAAAATGTCAGCTTATAGCAACTGCTGTTCCCCTCCTTATGAGCTGTCTGCAAGCTTAAGCAATGCATGAGTGATGATTTCTACTGAGTGAGTTGTTCACGCCTTGACAAAATGATGAACTGTGGCTTCTGCTTTCCAGAGAGAGTGGGGTGATTTCGGGGTTCGCTCCACCTCTGAGGTAACGTGCGAAGCAGTATAACCATTGCAGGATCAAGCACAAGAATTTAAACTCTTGCTTCTGGGTTTACTGTCAGAATTTTTCAGCGAATGATTTATTGTAATGTTATTCAGAAAAACTAGTAACTATTACTTAATGATAATTATTTATTCCAGTACAGTGCAGTCAGGGAAGTATGAATGTTTTAGATGCTCATGGTAGTTCAGTTGAACAGTAAATTAGCAGAGTAATTTCAGACTATAAAATAAATAAGCTCAACTCCCCCAGAATAAATTGGTAAATATCCCAGCGCAAGACATTTTCCCATCAAGGGCACAGGAAGTGACTCCTCCCTTGCCCTGGGAGTCCAGCACGCTCCACCCAGCGGGAGCCCCGGGGAGCAAGGCCGCAGCAAACCAAAGTGCACGGAAGAGGCAGGCATCTCTGTGTGCCTTCAGGGTAAATTGCTATCACTGAGACTGCTGGGGAATTAATAGTAATGGCTACTTCTCTATTATTGATAGCAGTAAATAATTGAAAGCAATGAAAATTAAGGCTCAACAACGCAGAGACGTAGGAGGGCACCCAGGCGGCCTGCAGTGGAGCCTACTGGCCAAGCACGGGACCGTGTGGGGCTCACAGTACAGTGCCTCACATGAAAATCAAGAACCAGAGAGCTCACCGTGCCTACCACAAAGCATTTTTGCTTTGTAGTGAAGACTGCCCTGTGAGTGTGGAAGGAGTAGATTAGAGAAGCCAGCAGTGGCAGCGCTGTTTTGAAGAGATCGCCCGTAGGATTTCAGAATGTCACGCCGCAGGCCAGTCTTGCTGGAAAGGGGAAAGGTGCTTTGACCTCTAGAGGTCTGGCGGGCAACTCGGCAGCCGGGAAGAGGAAGGACCTCATGTTCCTCCTGCTGTGAGCTGCAAAGGCTCAGCCTGGGTAGCAGCCTGCCCAAAAGATGCTTAATCTGAACCTTGGGTGTCGCAGAGATGAGAATGTTCTGCGATGTAACTGGCCTGAACGGGTCAGGTTGCTTATTTCATGAGGAAAATGAATAAAAGGCAGGAGGAGCCTTCCCCGGGAAGGACACTAGGCCGACGTGTACACAGCACCGTACAGTAACGGATGGGGCCAGTGGCCCTTGACTAGACCACGTGGGGGGCGGGGTAAGACGACAGTGGACTGATTTGGGAAGTCGGGATATGTGCTCTGTTAGATAAGAATTACTTCACTGCTGTTAATTTTCCTGAACATGAAATTGAAATGCCGCTAACGAGCAGCTACCTTTGTCTTTAGGAGAAATACGCTGGGATAGTTGGAGTCGAACTATTTATAAGCTGTTCTCAAGCTTCACCTAAAAAGGATTTATAGATAAAAGAGAGACAGCAAACATGTCGTGTTAAGATAAAAAGTTGCAAAAGAAAAAGAATGCTCAGCCGGCCACACGTGTGTCCTCTGCACTTGCCCTTTCCCTCGCCCCCTCGGGGAGGGCGCCCTCCAGCCCTGTGCTCAGGCCGGTCACATCTGGGGGCCGCCCCGCCTGCGGATGAGGGGCAGCCCTCTCCCTCGCCTGGGCTGCGCGTGCGCGTGTGTGTGTGTGTGTGTGTGTGTGCACGCGCACACGCTGCCTCCTCGGCAGCTCCAGTTCCTCTGCATCAGGGAACTCCTGTGAGTGAGGACATCTGGAAGGCTGGTTTCAGTCAGAACTCCATTCTGCCTGCTACACATCAGCATGCCTCTGCTGACCCCGCACTTGCGGCTTTTCAGGTTGTCCTTCTAGCTGGGTGTGGTGGCGCCCACCCATGATCCCAGCACTCTGGGAAGCTGAGGCAGGAGGATCAACGGTGTAAGCCCAACCTTTGCAAGACCCTGTCTCAAAGTAAAGATGGATGAGGTGAAGGGCAGGAAGGCGGTGAAAAAGGGATTGAGATGTGTTATATGCATGTGCCAACTCCCACCCAGACTGAAGAGTGTGCTCAAACATGCACACATGTGTGCCTGTGTACATGTATGTAATGACTTCCCTATAAAGTGTAAAATATAAAATTGATAGCCCCTTTCCCAAGTAAAAACTGTGATCAGTGTTCTGTGCATCTGCTTGTGCTGATTCCGTGCAAGTATGCTTGCTGCTTTGAATGTACTGATCAAGTGGGAGAAGGGATATAATTACTGTTAGCATATTCTCTGTGAAGAAACATTAGCAGTACTATCTGTTGTGTTTTGTGTATTGTAACAGTGGCCCGGCCCAGGCAAATTGACATTGTAGTGGTCCATTTTACATTTTAAAACATCTTCTAACTGTTTTGCTATGTTAGGGTTTAGAACAAGTTGACAATGCAGGACAAGCCTGTGAGTCTAAAGCTGTTATAAATGTGTCTGATTCTCCAAATGCAGTGGTTGCTCAAAACTGTGTGCGTTGCTGCCATGTTCTCGGCCGGGTCCTGATTCCCGGTTTACTCTGCTCCCCTTGAGGAGCTGTGTGTAGAATTCGTCTTGGCGGCGCCCACTCTGACAGGAAAAGGAACTGGATCTCCTTGGGGAGAGGCCGAGGGCACTCCCGGGGTGCCGCTCTCGTGGATGGGGGTGTGGGTGTGGGTGCCGTTGCCCGCCGCCCCCCAGCTGTCTGCCACGGTCGCGCGTGCCTGAGCTAATGCTCCTCCCGGGGAAGGCTTTGGGCCCAGTGGGGCACCGGGGACGCCCGCGCACCTCCCCTTGCCTCGTCTGCGGTGTAGGAGCCCAGCCGAGCCCGGCCCAGAGCAGCCTGCTCTGCTCACCTCCGCGGGCTCCGAGGGCCGGGGCACCGGAGGCGCCGCCTTCAGCACAGCCAGGGCAGGTAGCGCGCACTCCGCACTTTCTGCTCCCTCCACCGTCCCTGGCTCCGGCTCAGGCTTCAGTCTTCGGCTCCGGTTGCCCTCACGTCCGGGCTTCTTCCCGTCTGGGCTCAGTGTGTGCCTCCCGGTCCCCGTTGTGTTCAGCCGCCCTTGGCGGTGGCTCGCGGTACGTGCCTGCCTGCGGGCCGCGCAAGGGTGGGCGCGGAGACCGGGCCCTGGGCGGGTGTGCAGGAGCGAGTCAGGCGGCTCAGAGCGGCACACTGGCACAGCTAGGGGCGCTAGCAAGCCTGAGACCCGAGCCCTGACGGGTGCGAGCTGAGCATGACTGAGCCTTGAAAGGTGGTGGCGGGGCCATCCTCCTTTATCTCCTCAGTTCTTAACACAGCCTCTAGTTCCCAGGAGGAGTGCAGCTCAGAGGTCCAGCACATTTTCAGTTCCGAACATGTTCTTCTGGCAGCAACCCGACGCACAGATTGAAAGAGCGGCAGCGGGTGCCGCCGACCTGGGCTGTGATCGTTGATGTTAGGGCAGGGCCTTTTCTCCATCATCATGAAGAGGAGGAGTGAAACAGTACATTCAAAATTAAGTCAAGTACATTCCTGTATTAGAATAGCATCAGCTGTATCACTGGTCCATTGTACTTTTCAGGGATTTTATACAGATGACTTTAGAAGTGATCATTTTCCTTATTCTTAAACATTCTTTTGCTTATTTTTCAATCCGGGTGTCACTGACTGATCACGAAGAAAGCTGTTTTAAGAGAACTAACCCCATGTGCTTGCCGCAGGATGTTCCGGAAGATCTCCTCAGGAACTTAGTGGAGGAGCTCCCTCAGCCCCGGAAGGTGCCCAGGCGTCTGGACGAGTACACCCAGGAGGAGATCGCGGCCTTCCCCCAAGTCTGGTCCCCGTAAGTGTGCCTGTGTGCTCTTACCTTTAACATGGTGTTCGGTGTCCTGCTTCCACAGCAGAACGGGAATAGCCCTGAGAGTGGGGAGAGGGATTCATTTTCACCCCCTTGGAAGCACAGCAGCTGCTGCCTGCAGAGAAACTCAGGTGTCGCTGTGGGAGCCGCAGTCCCTGAGCCCCAGACCTGCTCGGTAAGCGCAGGGTGCTGGGAGACGCCCTTGTGCGGCCTGTCTTCTTGGGCCATGGGAACTGCAGTGTCATTATCCTGAAACCAAGGACTCTAGGTCCGACTGCTTTCCAGATTGCTTCATATGTCAAGGATATCATCTAATGAAAAGTCATTAATTCTGGAATTTTAGTCTTGAGCCAAATAAAAACAAAACCTTTTTCCTTCCCTCCATACAATTCCAGCTATCTCAGGGCCATAAAGCTACTAAGATTTGACAGCCTGTCTGCCGTCTAATTGTTTCCAGGCTTCTCTGGGATTTGCAGATGGGCATTCGAATGCACTTCCTTGGGTGTTCCCTCCCATAATCCCAGGTGATTTATGCTCCCCGCTGCCGGGCCTCATACACACTTTCCTTCCCAGCTGCTGTGCGTATCCGAGTGTAATGAAGCGTGTGGATCAACTGTTTACGGTCTCGTTTCCCTTACTAGGTTTCTTGAGGGACCCACACACTAGTCTAGCGCTGAGTGCGGTGTCCGGCGTGTTAAGTAGGCATTTGACAGACATTTATGGAACGAAACAGTGACACCATTCCCTCTAGCAGCTTTCATTACGCGTGAAGGTGGGGAAGGGGGGGGCAGGAAATACAGAGCCACTTTGCCTCTCACGGCTTTCATCGCTACGCGGAAGCGTCTCCTTCATTTCCATGCATGTTTGTACTTGTCTCCCTGGACTGGTAGCAGGAGTGAAAGTCGAAAGCTCTACCAGAGCGTTTCCAGTGTGCTTTACCCTGTCTAATCCTCTGAGCAAGCTCACAGGTGAGGACTTTTATCTCTGTTTTTGGCAAACAAGAAAATGCAGACACAGAAAGATGCAGTAATACCTAAAATCCCATCACTGTGAGTCGGAAAGCTCACTTTCTGGGGAGCTCCTGGAGAGCTCTCTGCGCCTTGCACTGTGCGTGGCCTGGTGGAGTGCGGCCCAGCGGCGCGGGGAGGGCACGCTCGTGCTCGGCACTCGGCCCGACTGCCTGAAGCCGCCGTGGTGCTGAGGACTCACTCCTTGGAGGTGCACATTAAGTGTTTTTGAAAAATGAACTCTTTCCCCTAAAAAATGATGTTGAAGTTGTCATGAGTTGCTTAACATGAAGTTTAAAAAAAATTCACCCTAGACTCAGTTCTTGTCCTTTTAGTACCTAATTCCACATCATTCTGGGCCTCAGTTTCTGCATCTGCACTAAGTTTCTTCACCATGCGACGGAACTGATCGTACTTCAGGGTCTGACTGGAAGAGCAGGTGAGCAAGCAGCTGCAGATGTGAACCCCAGAAGCACAGACCAGGAGAATAAGTTTTCTTATTACAAACCTGTATTGTTTCAGTGTGCTTGCTGATGCAGTGTTTTTGTAGATGCGGTTAGGTTGTAGCTACTCCAAATACAGAGCTGTGATACGTTGTATGCTAGAACAGTATGTGAAGTAGTCCTACGAGTTTTGGCCTGTGCCCTTCCTCTAATAATCCGACGAATACAGGTGATCACCTTAGACAAATCCCACTGTCGGAGATCTTATACTCCTCACCAGGAAGCCTGAGATACCTTTTTCATTCTAACTGGAAACACCAAAGGTGCTAGTGAGTCAGGTGTTGGGCCACGTGCATGTGAACTGGGAAGTTGTGTATCACGGTTCTGAAATGTACTCGAAGGCAGTATAACCAAAGCAGTCTGTTCAAGTATTAGCCATTCCCAACATGTTCTACCTGGTGCTTTGTTATCAGAGCTCTCGTTTTTCTAAATGATCCCTCCTTCCTTTGAGATAAATGAGAAGATGACTTGAGTGTCTTCCCTAGGTGAATAAGACTAGAAAGGCTTTTCTGAAGTTATTTTTAGGGAGACATGTGAGAAAGTTAGAGCCACGGGTGCACTGCTGAGTTGGGTTTTCCTACCCTGTTGAGTTGGGTTTTCCTACCCTATTGAGTTGGGTTTTCCTACCCTTTCTTTTCATTCCAAATTTCCCTGTGGCAGGAATATGTATTAGACACTAGACTGCTTTATGGCTCATTAAAGTTAGAATCTTTCCTCATAAATTCTTACCCACCATGTGTTAACTTCTGTTTCCACGGTGCTGAAGTAGATATACATTTACCAAACCTGCAGGACGTTCCATGGCATACGTACTCTGGCCGCTTAACCTAAATCGTTCAGACTTTGTTCTCACAGCACATTAGAGCTTTCACCAAGCCCAGCGACTCTTTGTCACATGAAAAGCGTGTGACCAGGGGCGAAACGGCATTTCAGGGTTAACCGAAAACTTAGTGTCTCAAAATAGATGATCTTTAGCCCAGAGCTGCCTAGTAGAGCTTTCTGCAGGGAGAGAAACCCTTCCACCTGCACTCCGCACACCGCAGCCCAGTGACGGAGGGCTCTTGCGCTGCGGCCAGTGGGCCTGGGCATCTGGATTTGTGACTTTGTGCGACTTAATAAATGTAAATTTCGTGGCCGCACATACGGCTGGTGACTGTATCACTGGACACTGACATGTCTGTTTCCCCCGTTTCCTAAAGTCCTAGCAGTAAACATTATGTACGTTAGCATGCACTCCGCAACTGACTGCCATGAAAATGGGATTTCTCATTATTGGAAGGCTTGCCTCTATAGGAAAAAAAGTCTTCTCCTTTTGGAGGAGGAAACTGCTTCAAATGTGCTTTGGTTCCACCCAAAGTGGCTAAGCCAAGAATATAATCTTCCTTGGGAATGCGGTAACTGGCGGTCATTCAAGGCAGGTCAGATGTGGACCACAGAGGCCTGACTGCTGCAGAGGCACCTGGGTCGTGCACAGTGAACGCGCACGGATAGATAGCTGGCCTTGGCTCGGGTCCCGAGCAATGAACTTAAAATGCATTTCCAGCACACAGCTAGATACCATCCTCGGGACTTCCGCTAACTTTCGTAAAGTGTAAGGTTATTAACTCTTCTTTGGGTACTAAAAGCTCTTGGACAGTTCTAATTATCAAACTGAGCTTTGACCAAGTAGATGATTAGTAAAATTATTTTAATTGTAATTTCCCCTAAATTATTTTAAATCACTTATAAAAGTTATAGTCTTCAGAACTAATTTGAGCATGTGTTAGGCTTTTTTTGCTAATAATTCATTCTTCAGTCATTTAAAAAACTGTAAGAAATAAAGAATAAAACCAAAATTTATGGCAAAGCTTTGTTGCTTTTTGTTTTGGTACTGAGAATCAAACTCAGGACCTTGCGCCTGCCAGGCAGGTGCTGTGCCGCTGAGCTACATCCCTGGCCCCAAAGCTACTTTTTTCAAAAACTAAAGCCGTTTTCTCATATGGGTAGTACATAGTAGCTGTTCATCTTGCTTCTTAAATTAGTGGATGTGCTTAGCATGTTAGTATTTTTATATTTTGTGAATATATAAATTTTGCAAGAAACTATTGCGAAGTTATATTGTTTGTTTCCTGATGAAACAGAATAGGCATGTGTTTGCTGTGTGTGGATGGAGAGTGTGGGGTTTGCACTTAAAATTTCTTTTTCATGAGAAGAAAGAATAAAGAATAGCATGATCCTTTTTTTATTGTTTAGTTGCTTGAAATTTTAGCTTTCCAATGGACAACTTCCATTAATACTATGAGTAATTACTTCCATGATTATTGCAGTTTTTTCAGCATATTACAAAACTCTTATAGTCATGGAAATGGTAATGCTGTGATTGTAATGGAAATTTTTCAGCATGAAGGCCAGAAATAAATTTTGAATCATTTGGAATTTTTATTTTCCATTTTTACAGATTCTCCAGGAGGGCTTAGGAGAAGCTAGGTAGTTGGAGCATTTCGCTGAATTGCTTTGCATCCTGACTCCTTGCTCATCACGCCTCCTTGTAAGCAGTACCTTGGCCTTTGTACAGAGACTGCGCAGAGCGAGCATCGTCGCAGGCTCTAAGGCAGATCTTCCCGGTGCAGCCCACGCGCCTGCGCGTACTTCTCAGCGTGCGCTGTGAGGAGGGCGTCATCGCTGCCTGGGAGAGGCGGAGGGGTGAAGGCCAGGTCGAGGGTCAGCCCAGTGGAGCAGAGGTTGTAGCGGGGCTCCAGCTGTGTAGGAGGGAGGCAGGTTCCGGGAGCGGACGGTGGCCTGGGATGGGCTTTGGTGAGCGTCCACCTGAGCCCATCCCTGCCAGAGGCCAGCAAGGACCTCAGCTAGGCAGACGCTGATAGGAAGGAGCACTGCTAAGCCCAGAAAGTGGGGGGCTCGGCCTTACTTAAACTGATCCTGAAAACAGCGTACTTGTGTGTTTGTAGAGTACGAAACTCAGACAATGAAGAAAGACTTTACCTTTTTTAATTCCATAAGGAGCCAGGGTCCGGACAGCTTCAAGATTTTCCAGAGTTTGCTGCTGGCCCAGTCGTGTGGCCTCTCCCACAAGACTTCACTTAATTTGCCGCTCTTTACAGCGAGAAGTTATGAGCTGGGCTCGGGCACGGAATGACTTTCCAGCTTTCCCAGCCAGTGCAGCACCGGCTCAGGCCCTCGGCGCAGCGCTCCCGTCCTGAGGGGGGCTCCGGTGGGTCGGCCCCAGGGAGGAGCAACTCAGCACTGGCTGGCGAAGCAGAAGGCAAGTCCCTGTGTGCAACAAAGCCAGGTCACTTACAAGTCCCCGCCAGCATGGGTTCCGGTGGTAAAGGTGATAACCAGCCGCAGTGCCTGTCACCCCTCCTCGCTGTTCCCTGTACAGCTAAGTGGTTTTTACCAGGGATCGGAGCCAGGCCTGCTGCATGCTAGGCAAGCTCTGTCCTCAACCCTTTTCTTCTCTCTGCCTTGCCTTTTCCTT